AGAAGCAGTTGTCAGAAACATTTCGGTGTGTAGTGACAATATTAGTTGAGAGTTACTCAAGACAGTTTTAAACGCTAAGTAAGTTAAATACGACTTAAGTAGTCTCTGAACTTTTATATGATCCCAAAACGAACGAACTGAATTTTTCCACAATTTTATCTTACAACATAAAATGGTCATAGTTTCAGAACTACCTGAAGGCTTCTGACAAGGTTTATTGTTTTTCTTACATATGAGAAGTGGATTTCGAAATACCATGAGCATAACAATGATAATATATTCTCAAATGACTAATCTTACACGAGGCGTGTCAGTTTGCAGGCTAGGTGCAATTATTACAATTGATTGATCACTGTGTAGTGATCAGTGTCTTGTGTGTCAAGTCCTTCTTGTTGCAGATCGAATGCTATTGATCGAGTCGTACTGTGGCCACCGGTCTAGGTGACTCGACATCGCGTGCACTATATTGAGATTAGATGGTGGTTAGAGGTAGTCAACAGGAAACCCTGGAACCGGGTTTCGTACTTCTTGGCACTCGTCAGAAACGTGCAACTGTAGTCAGGAGAAGCTGGTGGCCACATTACAACTCGATCGATGGCATTCGATCTGCACTAAGAAGAACTTGACACACATGACATCGATCACCACCACCAAGTGATCAATCATTTGTGATTACATCTCAGTCCTACAGAAGGTTGGTCGCGGCCGGGACAGCTCAGTGGTATCGTCTATGACACGGGATCGAATCAGTCAGGTACACCTTGCTGACGTGTGCCGAGTAGCACGAAACATGGGTCCAGGGTTATTATTTCCAACCACCATCTAAGATTCAGTTATTACAAATGATACAAGCTTCACTGCAATAGGTTACTCAGATAGGTTATAAATTACACTGGTTATATAATTTTCGAATACGAATACAAATAATGTTAGTAAGACTAAAACTGTCAATATAAGCGTTTGCGCCATTTATGGGGATTGCGTTGCAACGTGCAAATGATGGTCAAGAATGAATCCACGTAAATTTGAGAGCTTTTGGAACTCAAGTTTGTCTAATTCTTGAATACCTGAGGTCAAAAACTGACTAGCTTTTGAACGAGGTTGTGAAGCTATGATACAAAATGTCTTCAACACTCGATTCATGTGTATTCTAAGAGACGTTGGGAAAACCAGAAGATCTCGTTCGAAACTGATAGAATCAGATGTATTGAGATCAATAGTAACGTCTTAATTCCTAAATATTCTATGAATCTTTTTGGACATTAAAATGAACGATTAACCAACAGTGCTACAAAATCATAGAACAACAGAATCAGCATTGAGTTCTTTAGACCATACATTATATTATGTCGGAAGGAAACACGTCAGCAATCCATTACTACCTCACACTTGTACTTACGCTCGTATGTGATCCTAATTAATCACAAAGTATTATTGTCAAACACAATCAAACAGTCGAATAATCACGTTTAACAGAAAATTCGTAGCTTAGTCTCATGGTCAATAAACACTAACGAAAGTTTCAAATGTCCCCATAATATCAGAAATAGAATTCGTAAACTCTCAACCTTTTCGTGGCTCAATAGTTGATTTTTAATATGGACAGCCAAGTTTTCTATTCCCTGTGGAAAGAGAAATGCAGTGTGATAAGTGCAATAAGTGATTCCACAAGATTTGCACCCATTCAAATCCCACCGTATACAAAAAATGTTGAAAACCTAACTCTCATTAGCTAGTAATGTTTTGTTGTTCAAGCAAGACATTACTAACCCAGGAAACAATTAGCCTTCTGGCGTTCGCCGGCAAAATGTAGATCATGGCTGGACTGATAACATGGGCACTGGCAGCGAAAAATTATGCGATGTGGTAAGTGCTGTTATGCGACATTCCAAACACCCGACCGAATAACATGCAATAGAAATCTCTCTCTTAAAACTATTCAATAGTGAAAAAACACCGGACATTGGCGATTATATTGCTATAGCAGCAAATGATGACCGTCTCATCCGTAGGGTCCCTAGTGGATGCTCCGACTTCTGGAGAATGGTGGATAGTGTGAGAACAAGGAAGAGGAGAAAAGATAGTCACAAATACCATCCGTCTACCTGACACGTCTTTGGTACGCTCAGTCTATGCGTCGAACGTTACTCTACCAGAGTTTCAAAGTGAGACGATATTTAACCCTGACCTAACTGGAAAACGTCTGGTCTTACTGGATAATGTTGTGGGTAATTCACTCGAACTACACGACTGCTTTTCAAGAACAACCAAGGATAAGCGCATAGAAGTTAGCGGGCAGGATATGACATCATGATCGAAAACCATGAACATGACTTTCATTGGAGTAAAATCCGTCCCTAGTCTAATTATTGGGAATCTGAGGGAGTCAAAAGATAATGAGTTTGCCAAAAGACACGCTCGCAATTTGGATTTAGTTGAATCAGCAATAAGAAATGTACTGCAAAAGTAGGTTTCAGGAGTACACATCACGAAAGTAATAAGACTTGGTGAGTGAGTTGGAGGTGACATTTAACAAAAAACGATCTTAAAGTTAGCACTCAGAAATTATGAGGAAAGAGATGTCACACTGAGTAACGCATACAAATCTCGTCATTCGCATGTTCATATCTGACCGGACTGACAGCTCGATGATCTAATCAAGCGAAAAAATGCCCTCGCGGAGTCAAAAACTCGAAAGCAAAACAAACCTTAAGATTCAAGTCTTTCGGAAGTACTAGCTTCCAAGATCTGTATAGATAGAACGAGTCATTCTCAGAACACATTAACTGCTGGCTACACGAACCATAGTAATCTTAGAAATAAAATGATCAAGTTACATCTGATAGCGGATAAATTAACCTACCATGTGATTGTTGTCACAAAAACGCGGCTCACCATATATGAAACTCTTACCTCATCACCGATGATTACATCTGTATTACAAGTGATATAGTCATAAATCAGAAAGAAGAGGGGTCATTTTCATGTACAATCGAGAACAACAGAGGTTCATGATAGTGATACACGTGAAGTAATTTGTTGTAAGAATAAGTCTAGACAAAGTTGAATGACTATGAGAGTCCTCGTTGTCTTGCTTATGCCACTATCTTAAGCCATATCCGTTCTTGGAGCATAGTTGAATATTGTCTCATCACTGGAGATTTCAGCGCACCGCATATCAACGGGATGGAGCTTGCAACTTCAGGTGGATAGTTTGATAACAGTCCGTTATCAACCATTATTCAGTGTGCACTTGTAAAAATGTCGCTAAAACAACGTTTATTGACTTAAAACATGAACAGTCATAGCTGGACCTTGTCTTTACACAGCACTGTGTCGATATCATCGACATTTAGTTCCTTCCCCTACTAGAAAATGGTGATCACGTTGTACTTTACTTTAGATTTTGGACACATGGTCTACATTACGTATCTGCTTCATCCCATCCCAACATCTGGCGAGTTGGCATTCCGACAATTAGAAACTGTAAAATCTCAACAGATTAGTCGGATAACGCAGATGGATCTATCAAAGACAAGCGGGACAAGTTTAAGGCTACATTTGAGTCCGTAACATTACCGTACATCCCACGGCCAACACGTAAGCCATCACATTGCTATCCATGGGCTAATAATGAACACTTAAACCTGCTGAAGCGAAAGAAACACTTCTGGGTCCTATCTTTGTCAACAGGCCACGAATCATATAAGTGTGGGTACCGAAAAATTGAAAATATTTGTAAAAGGACCGTAGCTAGTGCCGCATCATTTACGAAAGACAGTAGATATATGATAGCCGTACTTGTCTAGGACAATTGTTTTTGTACATTAAACGAATAACAAACCGTAGTGATGGTTAAGTTACTAAGCCACATAGAATCATACAATTTGTTAACCCCCTAGCAACACGGGCATCGAAATAAACATCCATACTTAACTAACTTACTTATTACAAGAAAGGATAGAACGACAGAACTAGATAAAGGTTCGTCTTTCGGTGTGATATTCATAGACTTAGTCAAAGCATTTGATAAGGCCTCTCACCAAGATTTTATGCAGAAGCTCCAGAGCTCCGGAATAACCGATGCTGTACAGAAATGGATATGTAACCTCTTTTGTCACCGAAGACGAAGAGTGTGGGGTTAAATAGGTGGATCTCTGGGTAGAACCAAGTCAAAAGTAGCATCATCCAAGGCACCATCTTAAGTCCCCTACACTTCCCTCTCTACGTTAATGAATTACCGCGCTTGCTTAAATTATGGACACTATTATTTGTGGATAGTGTCAAAATCTGGGAAACAATAAGAAGTATGACTGATTGTTTTGATCTCCAAGTTCACGTAGACGAATTAATCCGGTGATCTAATTCTAGAAAGAGTGTGCTCATGCACACCGGACACGATAAGTTACCAGCATGCTATCAACGTACACCTCTTCCTACAGTTCAGGAAAACAAAAACTTAGGAGCAATGTTGAGTTACGACTTTAAAAAAACTACTCATTGCAACACAGCAGCCTCCAGAGGTTTACGTGTGTTGTGATCATTTAACCAAATATTCAAATGCTTTGACCAGGGGATGTTTCGAGTCTTATGCACCATCTACGTAAGACCACTCATAGAGTTCTGTATCCAAGCTGCTGATTCACGTCTTATTAAGGATACTTACTCACTTGAGCGTTTTACGCGCGTGTGAAAAATCAGTGAAAAGCCTTTTTAAACCCCCTTACGATGGATGGACGCTTAAAATGCCTGACCTTTTCCCCTTATGGTCTCGTAGAACGAGAGGTGACCTTATATTGACATTCCGTGTCTTTAGTAACGATGTGGGTGTTAATGTGGCTCATCTGTTTACTCCTTCCAGCACTGGAACTCTTCATGGCCATAGGAAGAAGGCTCAAAAAATGAGGTTCCATAAACTCAAAGTGGGGTTCTGTTTTTCTCATTCAGTGGTCAGTGTCTGGAACACCATACCCGAACAAATAGTATCAGTCCCATCGGCAAACACTTTCAAGGAGACCTTCACTAGAAAACAAACTGTAAGGATTATTACAAGTTCACCAATATTCTATCATTATTAATGATCTCGAACACATCAGTCATACTTCAATGTTTCAACCGTGCGCTGCGTGTGTCTTCAAGGTAACCTGATCAGCAAATTTGTATTTAAATCATTATTCTTCATAAGTTGATAGACTTTAATTCATGGTCACAAATACATGTCTATTACTGTAAGGATGCTTTTAGACTTCAAAATGAGCCAATCTCAAAAACATTCATTTGACATGTTTTTGTCTGGTGATAAGTAAGCATCTGAGGTGCGTGCTTCGAAAGATTACCATCGTTGAATTGGTGCTTCATTCAATTCACATGCTATGCTCTTCCATTTATCAAGGTTCAGTTATGCGTTTCGGTGAAGTGGAAGGTTAATTTATTCGACCCTAACATGCATAAGGCAAGCAATCTATTCCAAGTGCCATAATTGTGATAATTTCCTTCGTGATAGAATATTATGGTTTGCATTTAAATCTTCAATTTGGTTACAAGTATTCTTTTATAATCTTGAGGTTACTAGGAACGAACAAAAGATAAAGTTTTCCATTATTAACTTCTAATAATACTAACAACAGCTTTCATCTTTATGTGGTGGTTAGATTTGCATATTCTGATGACCCAATCGATATATATTAGACAGAATATTCATTCTTTCACATTCTACCATACCAGACAGTTTGGTCTTTGAGTTGTAAATTTAATAGTAATAAACTCATGGTCTGGAACGAAATTTTACTTCTGAATGTACAAAAGCATAACGGCAGTTAAGGATTTTTGTGACTGTTTTCTCTGGATGACGGAAAAAGAGCTTGGGGACGGCCTCAAAAATATCAATATTTCATGTGTTTTTGTCTTTGCTGTTAAGGCCCTAAAGGTACAGTTCTAGGTCGTTCGTAACTACTCGATAGGGCGCTGCACATCACTGGTTTCAAACAGTTGTCTGTTTTTCACTTCATTTACGCTTTCTAGTCGTTTAGATCACTATTAACCCAGTCTTTGTAGGTACATCACTGAGAATTGTCATTCGACAGTATGGACAACGTGCGAGTGACGACTTCCCTCTTACAACACTCGAAATGACCTCGTTCATCATTAAGTCCTATCGTTACTACCTAGCTGAAACAAGTTTACAGATCACATATTTATCATATGTACATCAAAGGCTTCATTGTTTGCACGTTATCTGATATATCAGAATTACTGTGATCGAACCTGCCTTTTTTACTATGAACGTCTGTTCAGAAGAACTCAGCCTTCAGCTTTCTTTTCTATCATATACTTTACGAGAAACTACGTGTGACTTGGAAGAATGCTGATATTAATGTTGGTCCGGCTGTTTTCTGTGACTGCGGAATAGTTGTTACTTATCACAGTGAAACAAGATTACTACACTGACTGAAGAAAGGAAAATAGTGTAAATCTAGACTTATTCATTAGCTGACCATTGATCAGAGAGACTTAAAAGCTAACAATATGTATATCATTTTAAATTTCTAGTCAATAGATAAATTTTGAACAGGCAGTGGCTAACGTAAATTAATTAACAGTTCTGTTTCTAAATGCAAAGTTTACCTACCAACCAGAGCTTAGATTTCTCTGCACCACTTTCTAGTCTGAAGGATATACTGCAACGTCACCTCGTTTCAAGATGTCTTTTAGGACTGAAATCTCTTCGTGCGGTTATATTCTGTAGCAGTCGTCCTTGAGGTGTTATTAGTTTACTACCAACACAGTTTGTGGTAGAAGTCTCATATAACCCAGTAATGATAATGTTAATAACATTATGAATAAATAATTGTTTTGTTTCTCCTGTCATCTTTAACAGTAACGCGATCCCCCGTATCACGAAAATCCTTGTGAAGTAGCACACTGTACCACGGATTAGTTTGACAATAATAATGGTCTTCATCGATATTTGCGCTCAATCAACACCTGAGAACTATAAAAATTGACTGGTTTAGTTAAGTTCTATTGAAACATCCATAATTCACTGTGTTCATTAATCACTAAATAATAATGTTGTAAAATAAACCATTCCCAAACCGTTGCTGCTAATGTTATTCCATTTTATCTGAATTACTCAGTCTTTAATGAAACACAATAGCTTACACGCTGTGTCAAGAGCGGAAAACTGAGAAAGGTTTGGACAATCATATGTCCAAGTTTTATTATTGGATTGCTGACGAATGTCGATTAACACAAAAACTAAGTTAAAGGGGATACTGCTGATTGTTTCTAATAAAGTGCAATACGATATCGGGTCTCTACGACTTCGTGACCTAAATGGGAATCTGTGTAAATCACGGGAAATTCTCGTCAGAAAATGTTAAGTTTCGTAAAATTAAGTTCAATGATGGATGAGCAAATGGATTGTAATACACATCCTGATAATATAGACTGTTTCGAGAGATAGTAAGAACAAATAATCTCTGGGTAAATTATAAAAGTTCAGACACGTTATCACATCAACTATATATGCCTAACCTAGGGAATCCTAAGTTTCCAAGCTGATCCCCATCGTTAAGAGAACACTTACATTGATTGATAACTATGAAGTAATTATTGTCATGCATTTCTAGTCCTTTGCACTGATTGGGTTATATTGCTCGAGTTTTTTTGTATTCAGAAGCCGCCAAATGGTACGGTCGAGAGTGGGGGAAGTCAGTTCTCCTCCTCGAAATGCTCTCACGTGGCGACGTGCCAAGGAAGTCATACTCACTACATTCTCGCGGCGGGGGGTGTTGTTTACGAAATTGGGATTACGAAAAGCGAATGTTCGGCGCTTTAACTCGGTTGGTTGACACGGAGAGTCCACCTAGGGGAATCGAAGAACCCTGATTCCAAACCAATGGTGCACATGGGTTCTGGGGTCATGAGGGAACAAATGACGTATGAACCTATTGTTGTTCATCGGCCGCCGTGGGACTGCATCCACTAACGTTCTCCATTGTCTTGTGGGTTAGGCCTCTAGGTCAAATGTTCGAGGAGTGGCTCCTTAGGAAAACCACTTGCTATGGTTTGGGCACCCGAGGATTATTCGATCCCTTACACAAATCGAATGGTGAGGTGTAGCGCATATATATTTGATGCCTTCTTGTACCAATTTTTGTGTTAAAATAAAATAAATATTTTAAAGTGCCAGATTATTTGCAACTATTATTCTTCATATTTGCATACTTAGGTTTGTGTAATCGTCAGTTGAATTCTCTATATATTACATCCAAATACAGGATGAGTGTGGCCAAGAATTCACTGGACAACACGGGACATTCCAGTGATGCTATCGATTGGGATGTATGCCTACTTTTTATTCGATTGTGTCATGTATTTTAGGATATGGTTTATCATCCAGCATTCGGAGCAGATATTGATCCGAAAGCAGGCTTACATCCAGCTACTGAAGCTTTGCAAGCACTGAAATATGAATCAGAAGATCCAGATGGTAAGTTCACGTGCCATACTGACTAGTTTTTTTAATGATTAGCTAATGCTCGTAGTTACAAAGAAGAAGGAAATTATTATTATAAGGGAAAAGACTTTTCTAAAGCGATATTGTCCTATACAGGTGGCCTACGTGCAAAGTCATCAGATCGTAAATTAAATGCAATATTGTATACCAATAGAGCAGTATGCCATTTCTATCTAAGTAAGCGTTATCTTCAAAATCATCATTCTTTTTCTTTAGAGAATTACCGATCATGTATTCGTGATTGTAAGTCTGCTGTTAGTTTGTCACCGGATTATGTTAAAGCTTATGTAAAAGGTTTAAAGTTTTTTTAATACTAAAACTTCATTTTAGGAATTGAAGCTTGCCTAGCACTTTCAAAAATTGATGAAGCTTTAGAATTATCATCAACTGGCTTAAATGTACTGCCCTCTTCTCCTGAATTACTTGAAGTACAGTATAGGGTTCTTAAAAAGCAAATGGAATTAGATAAGGAGGTTGAACAGCGATCAAAATTAGGTTGTAGAAAAGAGAACGATATGAATACTGAATATGAGATTTTAAAGGTAATTAACCAATTTTTATTGTTAATTGACAATATAGAACTTTGCATTTTATCACACCTTTTTATAATCACATATTTGGTCATAGTCCAATTTCGATAGTGTTCAGAAATGGACAACTTAGTACTTAGTTATTTAAATATATTTAGAAACCCTTCTCATTAAGTCATTTTCTATTTTGATATCCTAACTGTATTCAAGAAACTTCGCTGAAAATATGTAGTTTAACTCTATAGTAATTTACATGCATTTTATGGTCTCATTTTACTTATTAAGGGCTTCTAAGTATTATTCGACTATATATTATATTTTGGTTCTATCTAATCACGAAACGATCTCGACTCATACTACTTATCTTGGAAACGTACAATCCCCGGTCGTCAAGACTCTTTAGTCCTCTCACAGAAATAACACAAGTTAGGCCTGATAATTGAACCATAAGATATTTAAGAGGGTAGGTCAATTATGACTACCAACCTCATCGTACTAAACCTTAGCTCTGAAAAATGATCTCCTAAGTAATGAGTATTTTCTGCATAATATTGTTTTAGAAGCCTGCCATAGTGATTGGCGAGAGTTTAACTAGCAAATAGTCTTCAAAATTGAAGACTGTAACTTTATATTATGATTTCGCCAAAAATTTTCTTCAAAGAGACAATTTCTGAATCTTTAACCATTTATTTTATAACAGTTGAAAAAAACAAAAAAAATATGTCGTTAATGTTTATCAAAATCCACTGTTGACTGCAGTACGTAAAACGTGTAATTTTTCCTGGGTTTAATGAGTCCTCTAACATCTGGTCAAGAAACTGTCTTCTGATTTATACCCTGATTGTCTGCAAATTCCATGAATTGTTTCACTTATAGCTTTTAGTTTTCCGAAACTTGACATTCATATCTTATCACTTTTACACTATCTAGTCACGTGGAATTGATGTTAATCTCAAATTAAAACCTATTGATATGCCAGAAGTGGGTTGTTCCACGTTTTATGTGGATTCATTGGGTAAATTTCACTGGCCTATTCTTTTTATGTATCCTGAATTCGGACAAACTGATTTCCTCCGTGATGTAATTGAATCAAGCACGTAGGTTCTCTGTATTGTACGGTTTTATATTTTTCTAGTGTTACATCCACTTCATTTTTGTTTCAATGAAAATAGATATCAGTTAAATCGCTATTTGAAAGTATTCAGTCACTAAACCATAGGGGTACCGTTGTGTCCTCGAGATTTTTTAACTGTACAGTTAATACATTAACCTTACACTTGCTAGCCTTTTCCATCACTCAACTTCAGGTCCCTTAGTTACAGAGTATACACTCCCATTCAAAACTTTGAACTAGATATATTATCAGTCCGTTCGACTCAAAATAAGTGGATTGACGTTGAAACTTACTGTCCATTGTACAGAATTTGGATATTTAAAGTACTAAGTTAGAACTTCATAAGTCGAATGGTTTTTAGTGCAACGAATGCATTTTATAATCCTAACAACATCCTGATATGAATAAACTTCACACATGTTTTGTGTTAGAAACTGCTATATTTTTTCACGATAATCCATTAGACTGGATAGTTTTTACAAACTCATATTAGTGTTTTTCATTACAGGGAATTATAGGTTTGTACACATCACATTGTTAGTAGATTTTTGTTTTGTTCTAGCAAATTTATTTATCGCATAGTTACTGGTTGTCCGCACTTCTAATAAAATAATAATAAAGATTATGCTATATGAAACACACCCGTATCAGCTCCTGACTTGATGAGAAAAGAATATTGGTCTCGAAATCTGTTTATCAAAAAGAGTAATTTTAGGAATGTCCATCAATGAGTTTCTGCATACATATAAAGTAATTACTGTTCATTCACAGCCACCAAGTGGTTTTAAAAAAATATGTTGCTGAACTATAAAATGACTGACTGTAGTAATAAACCTTAGGACCATGAAAGCGGGGTTTACAAAATATAATACTTAAAAACCAATAACAGCAATAGAAAAAGGCATCTTGTCATCAATCTCACTCCCCACATTTTTGGTTTGAAGCTAACAGTTTAGATATGAATTTACATAGAAATTTTTGTTTAAAATATGAGTTACTCGTAAGTAGTTGAATGATGTAAAGTAAGGATCGCTTTTACAATTTTTTTTCAGGATCATTGATTGTTTAAGGTTAGTTTTTGATATGAATCAGCCTCCTCCGCCGTGGGATCCGAAGCGCCTATATTCCCTTGAAGATGATGCTATAGAGGTACTATTTTTAATCATAATATAAGTATTATATTTTTTAAAGTGTTATCATTAAGATTATTATTTCGAAGTACATTCCTTTCATTTGTTGTCCAGTATTGTTGACACTACTTTTATTGTTAAGACTCTTTAAATTTCCTTTACCTAAGCTAATGAGAAATGTGTCGGCTGGTGCCGACTAACACTTATACCAACTCTTGCGTTAATAGATGTCTGAAATTGAAGTCTATTGTTCTGTGATATTCTAGTATACTTAATGATGGGAGAATTCCATTGCTTCATATGTCCATCCATCATGTAAATTTACTACCAGTGAGATTTAACGGTTCTTCATTTAAGAAAGGATTCTAACAAATTCAAAGCAGAAACAAATCCGTGGTATTCAACCATATTTTATGTGAAACATCAAGTGCTAACTTAGGAATTCAATGTACGTGTTTCAGATTTGGTTACAGAGAAAAGGTTTATAAACAAATCACGTGGGACGTTTGCTACAAGTTCAAAGTTGGAGATGGTATGCTCTAGAATCTCCTTAAAATTTAAACTTCCTTTACATAAATTTTCAACACAATACTAGATTTACTCTTTTGTAACAAATGTTATGATTACAGAGTATCTGCTCTAAAGTGCGTTCGAGTAAAGTAATATCCCCCACAATTTTGAAGTCAAAAGGTTTTACTCTAAAATCACCTACATCATAATGTCAACAAAAAAGCTAAAGAAGTCAAACGATGCATAGCTCTGTTTAATTCCACTGTTACAGTAAAGAAAATGAATCATCGTTTTTTTCCCTACTCATATATTCTACTGCCAGATTTCCAGAGCGTTAGTTTTAGATGCATAAATTCATAGAAGTCATGTTTAAATAACCTAAAACATTCGTAATACTAAGAAAATCAGTAATAAGAATGATCGTATTCAAACTGATTGTTTGCACAACTTTACCGATTTGCATTATCAATATTTTCTTTTGAACCAATTGTGTATACTAGCTAGATAATTGAATGCACAAATCACACATTGTCTTTATAAGAGAATGAGCTAATATCATGAAACAACAAGCTAAAGAGTGTTTTCTTTTCTTTTATAATGTAAATTATATCGAGAATATTACTACAAAAACGAATTCAACAGGATGTCGTAAGTGATGCTAAAGACTTAAAATATTCTTTCGTCACTTCTTAGTCTCTAAAAGGATTAGAATTCATGTTTCCACTCCTTCCGCGTTCATTACTTATCCTGTACAAATTCACTGACCGAATTGCGTTTGTTAATCTTCAACTAGGCACATTAATGATTTTTGTGAGATCGTTGCTTAAATACCTTCCAGGGACTTATTACGTATGTGTAGTCAAAATGCCAGAAGTTTTATTTCGAAGAACCTCCTGAAGATTCAGATTGCCAGGGAATACTGGAGTGACTGAATTTACTGTATTTTTGTGAAGTGCTCTGATATGTCTTAATTATAATAACACAACGCAGAGGTTTCGTAATTTATACCTATTTAATCTAGTTGACATCCTAGGCATTTACTCAAATCCTAGTCCATACCGTTATAAATTAAAAATTACGGTGTTTATAACCCATACTACCTAAACGCGCAAACTGATGTACATGGAGTCAGGATCAGTTGTCTTCTAATGACCAGCATACGCCTTTTAAAACTTATTTCGTTTTCGTTCCCTATCCAAGTTCATTCGTTTGACAATTGTAGGGTTGAAGATTTTCTTTTCTTACTATTTACCCAGGTTTATTTTGAACATGATAAAATGAAAAAGTTTATTCTTTGTTCATTGCAATGTACAATCAAAAAACTAACTAAACAAAATGGGTAAGTGTTTTCTTCAATAATTATGATCGTGGTAATTTATTCATCATTTATAAGGTATAATTATAAAAATGTTTATTCAAGAACTGTATAAATTATGGTGTGGTGTCTACGTGATTAAAACAGTAAACTTTCAACCACTGCGTCTGAATCTCACTGCATTTACTTCAGTCTAGTATCATCGTCCTATTCCTATACAAAAACAACGTATAACAATTACGTTATGGAAGAAATTATAACAGTTTGCAGTGTTGACTAGTTATTTTCATAACGCGGTCTTTATTTACCTATATCTACAGAATAAAATTTACTCAGATTGTAGTTAGCTAGTTCGTCAACTGAAAAATAAGTCATCAGTAGTAGGTAAATTGTCCTTCAGCAAAACTAACGAGTTATTCTAGCAGTGCTCATTGTTAGTGTTGCAGTTGATTCAGCGAAAAGTCTACTACCGCATGTTTTGAAAATAATTGTTTCTGAAATCACTACATAAATCTTCCTAATTCTGAACGTATTGGGTGATTTATCGCTTTATAAAACTAATTTTCCATTCCTGGTCTTCAAGCCCATATCAAACAAATGTATACACATGGGTTTTTAAATATACTATTTATAGCAGTAGTCAGTAATCTCTTCAGTGTTCACTCGTTTAAGTTGTGTTGATAGTTTCTATTGTTTGGAAATCTCGTGTAACAGCTACATAAATCAATGAGATTATCAACAAGATTTGTTAATTTTGCGTATTCGAAAATTACGATATCTTTGTCAGAATAGTTAACTAATTGTCGTAGACGACTTTCGCTTTCCAACAAACAAATGTACGTGTACTATCCTCGGGAATATTCCAATCCCAATTCATTTCTTAGATAAATATATACTTAGGTGGCTTTATGGGGTGAGGCCAATTTCATTTTAATCACCAGTTGATAATGACATGTATACTCAATGCCTCATATTCTTGATTAGTTAACGAATATACTTTAATTCCCAATAGAAACTGTCTTTTAAGTAATTATATTTTAACTAATTTACTTTTGAATATTGGTATTTCATTCTTCTATATACTGCTAAATTTTATTATCATTTTGCTTTTGTCCTTTTGTGTAGATTTAGTGTCGGCAGAGATCTACTCATTATTTTACATGTGATATCTAAACGATCAACACATTTCTATAGTAGTTGGAAAGACGAGAAAATTTAACTTTATTGACTGTCTAGCTTTACGCGTTATTTGTAAAATTTATCCGTTTTTTTTAAATACTGGATAAAATAAAACCCCATTTAAAAAGAAAAACTATCTATTTTTCCTGTCTTGTCCGTTATTTCTTTGTTCAGAGCTTTTGGCTTATGATCAAAGTAGATTTCCAAAAACTAGATTTTTAATGAATTTAAAGACGTATCACTGAGATACAACTCAACATTTTACAGGATAATGCGCTTAATATGACAGGTGTATAAGATGGATTTTATAATCAGTTATTAATATATTTGTATTGTCAATTATTTTGGCCATGCTAGGTTATGAAAAGTGACCAACGGATGTCCGCAATATAAATCTTGCCCTAATCGGCACTTTTTTACGAGACATCTGGAATTCTGAGGTAAACTGCTTCCTTTGGTAATTGAGCCCACTTCAGCATTCAGTACTAAACATGCTAGTGACTGGTAATCTATAGTCATATGATGTACCTCACTATTTGCACATTACAAATGCATCATTTTCCAAATGGGCAGCAGTCGACTAAAAACTAACCAACATAGTATGGTTCCTTTAGATAGCAAGTAAATGATGAATATAAACATTTCTAGTTTCTTCGCCCTATATTGAGCAATTCAGAATGGTGTTGTTTTATTACTTACTTAAATACCTAAACGTTGACAAAATAAGGCATCAAATATATATGCGCTACACCTCGCCATTCGATTTGTGTAAGGGATCGAATAATCCTCGGGTGCCCAAACCATAGCAAGTGGTTTTCCTAAGGAGCCACTCCTCGAACATTTGACCTAGAGGCCTAACCCACAAGACAATGGAGAACGTTAGTGGATGCAGTCCCACGGCGGCCGATGAACAACAATAGGTTCATACGTCATTTGTTCCCTCATGACCCCAGAACCCATGTGCACCATTGGTTTGGAATCAGGGTTCTTCGATTCCCCTAGGTGGACTCTCCGTGTCAACCAACCGAGTTAAAGCGCCGAACATTCGCTTTTCGTAATCCCAATTTCGTAAACAACACCCCCCGCCGCGAGAATGTAGTGAGTATGACTTCCTTGGCACGTCGCCACGTGAGAGCATTTCGAGGAGGAGAACTGACTTCCCCCACTCTCGACCGTACCATTTGGCGGCTTCTGAATACAAAAAAACTCGAGCAATATAACCCAATCAGTGCAAAGGACTAGAAATGCATGACAATAATTACTTCATAGTTATCAATCAATGTAAGTGTTCTCTTAACGATGGGGATCAGCTTGGAAACTTAGGATTCCCTAGGTTAGGCATATATAGTTGATGTGATAACGTGTCTGAACTTTTATAATTTACTCAGAGATTATTTGTTCTTACTATCTCTCGAAACAGTCTATATTATCAGGATGTGTATTACAATCCATTTGCTCATCCATTATTGAACTTAATTTTACGAAACTTAACATTTTCTGACGAGAATTTCCCGTGATTTACACAGATTCCCATTTAGGTCACGAAGTCGTAGAGACCCGATATCGTACTGCACTTCTTTTGATGTTCAATGATTAGAAACAATCAGGAGTATCCCCTTTAACTTAGTTTTTGTGTTAATCGACATTCGTCAGCAATCCAATAATAAAACTTGGACATTTGATTGTCCAAACCTTTCTCAGTTTTCCGCTCTTGACACAGCGTGTAAGCTATTGTGTTTCATTAAAGACTGAGTAATTCAGATAAAATGGAATTACATTAGCAGGAACGGTTTGGTAATTATTTCGGCCCATGCTCCATTGGGAGTAACAGGCGTAAGGAAGTAAGTAAGTAATTCTTTTATTGTTAAAGTATATCGTTAAATTAAACAGATGTGTAGTGTCCGGAGGGTTAAGAATTCATAATAAGGAGCTACAAAAATTACGCCGCATGTATATAATTAAGTCTTGAGAACAATCTACTAGATAAATGAATGTATGGTATGTTGGGTTTAAAAAAAACCATGTACAAATAACAAATGTAGAGAAATTAAAAACGGATAATAATTTTCCATATATATAAGAATGATATGTATGCATGAGTAAATCATCAACGCTAGCGTGACAAAAAAGTGGAATGAAACAATAGAAAAAATATTTAGAGAAAAAACAGTAATCATAATAAGCATAAAATAATATGTAAAGGACAATAAATGTATAGTAGTTGGTACAATAAGTAAGACTTAGTGTGCGTGTGTATACTACGTATGAATGGATAAGTGCGAAAAAAAGACTCAAATATTGTTTGAATAATTTTTATGTAAATCACAGAGGATAAAATATTTTAAAAAACCTGTTAACAATCACATAACAAATAAAAGGTGTGGAAAGGATCAAATATGTTTTCAAAAAAAATGGAAGCCCCACGCTGAGTATGTATAATAGAAGAAAACGACGACCAGATAATAAAGTTTGTTAAATGGTGAGTATTCTTCAAATTATAACATTCCTTCTACGTTTCCTGATTGTCTTCGATGCTGAAATATATACAAAAAAAACACGCTAACAATGTATCTTAAAAGAATGATAACTGAATTAATTATTCGTCCTGATATTTTCAGAACACAGCTCACCGTAAAAATTACCTCATAATATCATGCCGGTAATCCTATTCAGCAAAAATTAAATACCACAAGATATGAGTTGATTTCCTGAACCATAAAAAACTCTCTTACTCATTGAGGCTACCCGTGGATCCGAAGGCAACAGGCATATTTTAGAGATTTGAAAAATATGATACTGCGAGTTCGATTCGTCTAGATACACTAATTGTAAGCTTGATTCTTAAGGAACGAAACAGCTAAGTGATATTTGTATTAATTAAAAAACAAACCAGCTGACGTTATATAGAAAACACAAAGTAAAAATATCTAAACGGATTAACCCAACGACCAATACAAGAGAACATACATAATGAGTCAGTTTGGCAGCTAGCTATTGAAAGACTATAAAGTACTGGATGACTGCTTTTGCTTAAAGCTTACACCAACTTGCTCATTGTTGGCTACATTGAAAATCGAAATAAAAAATCTACTGACACTATTTAACTTTACGATGTGTTTAAATTTTGTATACGATTAAAGTTATAATAAAGTACGTAATTATAGAATACTGGTTTTAGTAGTAAGTAAGAAGTATCGCTAATTGTAATTATTATTACTAAGGTTTGGATTGATAAATGAAAAAAAATGAGTACCTGGAAGATTGTTAATAACAGAAATAATAATATATTTGAAGGTCCTAATGAGTAACAATGAAATTTCTGACTTTTTACAATTTAGAGTAAGTTGTTTCTTCAGAGAAAAAAATTAATCACATTAAATTAATTCAAGTTTAAAGTTCTCAGTTATATGAGGTTCGAAAAACTGCGAACATCAAATTATCCTAAACAAATCAGGAAATATCTCCTTGATTCACTTTAATCATCATCGAAACATATCATAAGACTAAAACGAGGCTAACATCTTACATAGAACTCGTGTGATGAAAATGTGAGTGAAGAAGGGAGCAAGCATCACCTGGTAAGTATACCCAGGAGAAATAGGCCTGAATCCCATAACCAATACTCATGAGTTTAAACATTTACCTAGTTTCGATTCATCAAATGAATTAACAAACCAATAAATCAGAAAAAAGTAATATAATTGTAATGAGTTGTGTAAACCATCATTATTATTATCGAAGCAAAAATATATATTGTACCATGCACAAATAAGAATAAACACCGCCTTTGCTCTAACTCACTGATCGTCCGGAATGTCTAGGTCTATTATGATTAGATACTGCACTGTAATGATCGGTTTGTAATTGTTTTCGATGTTTAGAACTGGATTTGTATTGATTATGATCAGCCTTATCTTCAGTGAGCGTTACAGTTTGTTCATCATCATTCTCTTCAGAATGATATTGTTGTTTCTTCTTAAAATGAGGGGAATTCAAAGGGCGCAGTTGATCAGATCGTTTCAATCTTTCTACTTCCTGATTATGGTGATTATTAGGAAGCATTACACCTCCGAATACTGGCACACCACCTACAGGAGGCCTATGACTAGATGACAAATTGCTTATTCTCGTATTCGGATCATAAGTGTAATTATCTTTTTGTTGGACAGTATTCGTTGATGATTCATCATGATGCTTCTTACGACGATGCGTTTTAGTATTTGCATATATAGGAGAATTCGGTCTACGATCATTTATGGAATTTGATATCTCAGAAGGATGTCTACCTTTACGATCGTTTTGACCATGTTGAATAATAGGATAATCACTTGATTGAGATCCACCTGTAACAGACATTTCGTCTGGTTTACCTTTTCCAGAGTGTCGATAATTTACATAATCATTATAAGGAGCTTCATTATCATAATTTTCGTTTACAGACCCATATGATAAAATATTTGAAATACCATCACTATATTGTTTACTCATTTGAGACTGTACATCTTGTACTTCAGACACAACAGACTCAGAATATGGATGATGTCGTGGAACAGTTCCGTATAATTGCGTTGCACCACTATTCCCATTTACCTAAAATGATACGCAATAGATATATACATGATGTTCACGCATAAAAAACTGGTACGTAAAAGACAGTTGCACTGTAGGTTTTGTAGATTAAATCAGAAAATTTCGCAAGAAATCTGGGATTTGAAAGTATACAACACCAATATCTGTCATAATCAGTCAAAGGTAGGGATTAAATAGAGACAAAACCGGAGAATACATACACCTTAGTAAAATTAGTTTCTTAATACAATGTATCTTTCAGTGGAAATAGGTTACATAAGAAAAACAATTACGTTAATAAAATATGGCAAAGACTCCCAACAACTGCCTATTTAGAAATCAAGCAATTCACACAGATATAAAAATTCTCATACGCGCAATCAATAAATCGACTACAGGAAAAAGGTAAACAACATGGAATGAAGAATAGAAATAAATTTAAATTTATCAATTTTCTTGAAGATTATTCTAAACCATCTAAATGAGAACAAAGTCAGAAAACTCCAAAAGACAAGTTGCCTAATTTTCTATCATCCATATATTTCCATTAAATAATGCAACTCAGTTACCAGGTTGCCAGGTTTATGTCTACTGATTTTTGAGCCATTAACCTACTTTTCTATTGACGAATATATAACACTCGCATTGCAACTAACAATTTTAACTGCTAAAAAGACACTATAATAGTAAGTGGTAGCATCTGTGTAACGTGATAAATGATTAGTGCTTACTTCAATGCTCAACGGTGACGATCCAAAGTAATTTCATCATCATCAGATAATTTGACGTGTATTAGTTGTTCAATGTTTATAGTTAATAAACACGATTTATTAACACTAATGAGTAAGAGATGAATTTAGTTCACCCTGTGTTATTTTAGTATTACAACGAGGGACATAGTTACTGAGCTGTATAGACAATAAATGATATCTATGAAAAAATCACACGATGTCAGCTACTTAACTATTATAGTACCTTAAAAAATATAATCCAGACTGAATAAGACCAATCAAAGAACATATTTTCAATTTACAAAATAATTAGCAAACGCTGTAGTAAACTGGTTTATTGAACTGTTGAATAATATCAATTAAGAAAACATACGCAGAAATTTGAATACCAGAGTAAACGCTTAATTAATAGCATCATTAGACCTTTTTCTTACAACCATATTCAAGATTTAATACCTAGTTCCATTCCCATATGAAAATAATACAGATGACCTCGATGCAGTAGACGCCCAACTTCGAGATCAACAAGCTGGATTCCGTAAGGATCGATCATGCACAGACCAAATTGCAACACTACGGATCATCGTCGAACAATCAGTTGAGTGGAACTCATCACTATACATCAACTTCATTGATTATGAAAAAGCATTCGACAGTGTAGATAGGAGGACATTATGGAAACTTCTTCGACACTACGGAGTTCCTGAGAAGATTGTCAACATTATCCGGAACTCATACGACGGACTACAGTGTAAAGTCGTGCATGGAGGACAGCTGACAGATGCATTCCAAGTAAGGACCGGAGTCAGACAAGTCTGTTTACTCTCTCCCTTCCTCTTTCTTCTGGTGGTCGACTGGATTATGAAGACCTCCACATCTGAAGGAAAACACGGAATTCAATGGACAGCTCGAAATCAATTAGACGATTTGGACTTCGCAGATGACCTAGCCCTCTTATCGCATACACACGAACAGATGCAGATGAAGACAGCCAGTGTAGCAGCAGTCTCTGCATCAGTAGGCCTCAGTATACACAAAGGGAAAACCAAAGTCCTCAAATTCAAAGCGGAAATCAACAATCCAATCACTCTTGATGGCGAAACTCTGGAAGATGTAGAATCCTTCACATACCTGGGAAGCATCATCGATGAACAAGGAGGTTCAGATGCAGACGTAAAGGCAAGGATTGGCAAAGCAAGGACAGCATTCCTACAGTTAAAGAACATATGGAACTCAAAACAACTTTCAACCAATATCAAAGTGAGAATCTTCAATACCAACGTCAAAGCAGTTCTACTGTATGGAGCTGAAACTTGGAGAACTACAACAACCACCATCAAGAAGGTACAAGTATTTATAAATAGTTGTCTACGCAAGATACTCAACATCCATTGGCCGGATACCATCAGCAATAGCCTTCTGTGGGAGAGAACAAACCAACTTCCAGCTGAAGAAATTAGGAAAAGACGATGGAAATGGATTGGACATACATTACGCAAATCGTCAAACTGCATCACGAGGCAAGCGCTAACTTGGAATCCTGAAGGGAAGCGAAAAAGAGGAAGGCCAAAGAACACATTGCGTCGGATAATAGAAGCAGATATGAAAACGATGAATTACAACTGGACGGAGCTAGAAAGGATTGCCCAGGACAGGGTTGGATGGAGAATGCTGGTGAGCGGCCTATGCTCCTTCACGAGGAGTAACAGGCGTAAGTAAGTAAGTCGATTATTTACGCAAATTAAGCTAATTTATATGTATAAAACTGATTATTTCCTGCATGAAATGAGAAACGTTTTAAAAGATTTAGGTTTTTAAAAATATTTAAACTTTTTTGAGATAGTGAACAAAAACCAATTACCGTAACAAAAGACCACAACACCTAGGGACAAACATCAATTCTTTTCAACATATAAAAAACGGCAAACTAATATAGACAATTGTATTAGAGGCAGTAATGAGAAACGATTCATTGAATTTCTACAAAGTTGTCTATTAATTTGTATGATTGAAGTAACTATACGATTACTCTAATGCGACGTAATTCTTTTTACTATCGTTTGGAAGTCGATAAATATTAAAATTACTAGAGATCTTATTTGTTCTTAATGATATAACAAGATAAGAATTAAGCTTGATTGTCAGGTACTAATTCTGTTGGAAAGTGACTTATAATTCTCACATCTTCCAATCATTAATTTGTCAAATGACTTGTAAATAATATCTCTTCTTATGTTCATGTATATAAATAAGCTGTCCTGTCTTCTGGTATTAGTTTAATTGACGGCTTACATCAATAATTCAGTCTCACGAACAGTTATCACTTGACTAAATTGTATCACTGCATAATATCAATCGATCGGTGAATACTCGTTATTCATTTAACAGTCCCCAAATGTCTTTTCATTACAGTTGGTCACACAAAACACGTCCGTAACCCCAATGATCAAGTAGATATCTTTATGCCGTGGTGCATGCTATATATTTTGTTTTTCTCAACAGCCCAAACCAAATGAGGTATTGGATAAATTAAGCGTATAGATAAGTAAATGAATAAAAACAAGTTGTTAAATTACTAAGCCACAATTTGATTATAAGGTTATCATTAACAAAATTCGAAAGGTTATTTCAATCTGAAACCTTTCGTGTCACGGATTGGCATCAATCACAGTTGCTACGATTTCAACAGTAAGCACCTAGGACTTTGTGTAAGATTGAAGCCAGGACTTTGAGATTGCAACATGAGTACAAATCCTGTAAGTTGCTGAGACAATCGACCGGTTCACATTCTCAAAATGAATCTATTCAACGCACAGCGTAGTCGTTATTCACTGTAACTGGAGAGTAACTGATTATTTGGTGATATGATTGAACTCCATCAGATAGAATTTCTACAGAGATTTCGTGAATCTATTTCGAAATTATTCACAAATTAGCACATGATTATGAACTAAGCGTGTTATTTTATAGTACTGAATTGTTAATTGTCATTTGACAAAAAAAGTAGAATAAGCAAAATGAACTTACTCCACTAGCCATTTGAACAGAACCAAATCTTCGTAATCCTTGTAACTGATCATTATTATTTTGAATTTTGCCTACAGTCATATCACGTGGATGTGCTCTGTTTAATGTATGCATATTCATAGCTGAAAGTAATGATTAGAACTAAAGTTTCTAACTGTAGAACATTAAAAAAAATATTGAACAACAAAACTATTTTATCGGAAATTTATAAATAAATACAGAGTATCAAAAATGGTAATATAGTGAGAATAACAAAACACAGAAATAATTCAGTGATAATCAACTCGTATTTTTGTAAAAGGAACAAACAGGTTGATGATTAAATGGGATTCGAATTTTGAAAAATACATCCACTGCTAATTTATTCAATGTTGTTTTAGCACTTGTGATGATGGTTGTTCATATCCTTATTAATAATTACCTATCGAAAAATGTATTACCATTGAATCAATCAGTAAATGATCTTATTATGCTCAATATTACTATTTTTACTTCAGTCAGTATAATCTTTTCTTTCGAATTATTTTAAATAAAGGTGGGGGTGTGATTAAGTAGTGAAGACGTTCAACTTTCAGCCTTCAGTGTGTCGCAGGTTCGAATTCCGTTCTATATACTACAATTTTGACACTCACGATTTTCAGTCAGGCTTTTTGGCTCAATCGGTAAACCGATGGAAACAGAAACTGCAGATTAGGTATTTTATCATATCTCATTATCACCCTTGAAAACGTAAATAGAAACCAACTAATAAAGGCCTTCTAAATTGGCATTTCAATTTTTGAAAAAGTTGCATACAATAAAACGGAATAACAGTCAACTCTACTAGTTGGTTAAAGAATTATACGAGATAGATAATTTTATTATGACAAACGCTTCTTCAATTCGGTACATTACGTAATTTCAGTAGTCAGTTAGTATGCCATAAATAACCATAACGCGCCCCTAAATGCCCTGGTACGGCCGAGAGTGGGGAGAGTCCGCTCTCCCTCTCGAAATGCTCTCACATGGCCACGCGTATATAGTCTCTACCAGGGAAGTCCTACTCACTGCCTTCTCGTGGCGGGGGTGTTGTTTACGAAAATGAGAGGACGAAAAGCGAATGTCCGGCGCTTTAACCGGATTTCAAACCAATGGTGCACATGGGCTCCAGTATCCTGCGGGAACAAATGGCGTATGAACCAATCGTTGGTCACCGGCTTCCATGGGACTGCATCTCCTTACGATGCTCCACTGCCTTGTGGATCAGACCCTCAGGTCGAAGGCTCGGGGTGTGGCCCCCTAAGAAAACCACCTGCTTCGGTTTGGGTACCCGGGCAGTATCACATCCCTCACACATACATCGAATTAGATTTGTGTGGCGCATATGTAATTTGGTGCCTCCTTGTACCAATATCTATGTGTTGAAATAAATAAAATAAACCATAACGCCAGGTATTGTATGTGAAGAAACGAATTGTCATTATCTCTAACGAAGCAACATTGTACACCTAAATTATGGTATTTCATGTGATAATGAGAGAAATATTTTAGAAGTCACATGATTGTATTGTATTTGACGATAAGTAAACAAATGAATGAGTTGACTTCTTATTTATTTACTTATATGAAACAGAAACGATTTGATACAATGAAGTACTTAAAATCAATGCCCCATACAAAACGAGACAGCATTCTTGTTAATACATCAAAAGAAAGCAAAAAACGGTAACAAAATCATCTATGACAAGTGAAATATAACACTGCATACTCTCCAAATTATATAACTTATTAATATTATAGTATTGCAGTTACCCTAATCCATAGCATTTTTATTTCTTACAGTTTAAATAAACAGCGCTTATAATATGATCGGGATACAAGAGAACCCCTTACTACATTAATACATCGTTAATTTGACATAGCGAAACCAAGAATTTTCTTTTAAAAACAAAAACACAACTTCATAATCACACACAGACTAGTGGGTTTCACTTTAAACCATGCTTCTTTGATAAAGATTGATAGTAACACTTGTCTGTCCAGACATTACAATGAGTACTAGCTAATAGTGCATAATAAGGCAAACAGCAGACCTAAATTTAAAAAAGCGTTCCATGTTGATGGGTATTTTCATTTGGATTCTGTACAGGTTTCGTCACAAATTGTGTGATCATTAGTTAGTGAATTTGAGATATATTTTTAAAGTTCTAATGAGAAGTCGTGACTTATTGAAAAACCAATAGTAACTTATTGTTAATCATAACTACAAAAGGAATTTACGACTAATGAATTCCAACTCACTACCTCAAAGGTATCATGCTCGCTATGAGATAGGAAAGCTGTGGGATCTAGTTCCATATAGAGTATTAGCTGATCTGCATCCCTGAGTTTCTAATACGAATGGGACAAATGCCAAGTGCTTCTAGGCAGTCAATCGTTTTCTAGTTGGTGAAAGTTACCGTAAAATCAATAATGAGTTTCTTCCAAAAATGATACTTATACAATTGAAATTACAAAATGATCTTAACTAGACCACCATTGAAAACCTGGAAACATTGAACGGAGAGAGAACATAACATATAAATTAGTTTCATAAGTAGACATTATATAGCTCATACTTGTTTCTAGTCAAATATTTGTAAACTGTAGCATTATTATGAACAAATTATACGATCGAATTAAAAAGTAGACGTATTTTTATATTTTCGATTCTTCAGGATATCTCAACTATTTACCAGTAACAAGAAAGTTTCATAACATTTTGTGTTCTAATCATAACCCGATTTTAAGTCTTATGAAAAGTTAAGTCATAATTTTCACACAAATTATTAAGTAATATGCTAATTTAAAAATCATATATATATATATATATATATATATATATATATATATATATATATATATATATATATATATATATATATATATATATATATATATATATATATATATATATATATATATATATATATATACATACCTACACAACTAAAAATATCTGAATTCATTCATCTAAGTAAAAAAAAAACCATGTGTTACGGTGTCATGGCCCAAAGCCGCCAATCAGAATCAGCAAATTATCGATCGGACCAAGGACGCGTAAAACACGTGCGAGAAGCCTAGAGCCCTACTTTCCGCCTAGCCCAGCCAGTTAAGTCCAGAACACCAGTCTCAGCCTCTGCAATATGAATCCTTATATTTCAAACATACTGAGTTTATACGCCAATCAAACAGACTACAACGTAGCATAAAATAGAAAATAACATTTGTACAAAATTTGGCCAAATGTGGCTGTAAATGTGGGAGACAATCACTAATAGATAGGGCATAATTCAAGAATGGTAAAATGTATAATAATAGTTCATAGGTCGAAATAAAGTTTATAATAAGAGGAATATGAATATGAATAGTTTAGTCATTTAACAATTATACAATAGAAATATACGTTTACTATTGATCCATAAAAGGATCCCAAAGTTACCATTCATTATATTTATCGGGACCTAGTTAGATTGGTGATGTGATGGCCACTGTTGCTATGCACGACTGGATAAAACTATAATTCAGTGGTTGGAATTTAAGTTTTCGCCAGTAAAACACTGTTCCGCAATGACTGATTAAGCTAAAGCTAACACATTTGTTAAGATCTCCTTATACGACCCAGCTACTCTTATTGCTGAACATTCTTCGGACACTTCACTCGACTAGTCGTTAAATCAAAACATTGCTAGACAGGAATGAAGTTATACTTTGAATAAACCAAGTTAAGTGGTAATAAAAATCACAATTAGAAGAACGTTAATAAATCTGTAATTTTACACCAGAAAATTCTAGTCTTCTCAAATTAAACGTTAGCGCAAATTGCTAAAGAAACAACCAGTAAACATGCCCCAACACAATCCTGGACGGAACATACTTTAATTCAATCTACATCCCACTAACATTTAACGAAAATATATGGCCATCCGCGATCGATTATATATATATGCAAAAAGGTGATCTATATATTAGTTATTGGCTTGATACAGAAAGAAAACTGGTATAATTAACACTAGTTAACCTAAAACGAAATAAAGTTATTCTCCAAAATGCAAATTCATCCTATTGTTTAATAAATCAATTTTGCACCTTAGAATAATAATCTTAAAGTACAAGTTCTCAAAATTCTTAAGACTTAACTAATTTGCATCTTAATTTTTAATAAATCAGCTATAATAATCGATTAATGAGTAGATTTCTCTTGGAAAATCATTGAGTAATAAAGTTAACTAAAGTACAATAAATAACTAAAACTAAAATGTAAAATTTATTAATAAGGTCACAACTTATCGTAGCCATTTGCCTTTATCCACTAATGTCTACTTTTTTGCTTGTTTCTTTTAAAAAAAAGAATAGCTTCTCGCTAATTTGTGATAAGTATATATATACAAACTCAAGATATCCTATGTGAATCGCATAGATATTGCCATAAGTATTTTGAACAGAGTTGGATGGTGGCTAGCAGTGAAATCCAGCAAACATATCGATAAAAGACTGATCAGTTGCAGTCCTAAGCATTCAAATAACCGATAGAAAGAAATTAAGCTTCAATTAATTGTAAAAGCCAGTGGCTATCTGAATTCAGTAGCTAAGTGGATAGAACGTTGACGTTTGTAGCGAACGGTATTGCGTTCCAGTCCAGGATGAATATCAACTCTGAAATGCAGGTGTATCCGGCTGATGAGTCCCAAGTAGGGCGAAACACGTTTCCCTTTAGCCACTATCCAACTCTGATCAATATAATCTTAAGAGTTACCACGATTTCGGTGAGCAAGTCACTATCTTTATTCAGTGGATTAGTGGATAACGTATCGGTGTTTGAAGCGATTGGTGTAAACACCAACTTTGAGATGCAGGTATATGTAACTAAAGCATCCGAAAAAGGACGAAACAGGTGTTCTTGACTCCACTAATAGATACGAATAACATTAAATACTTATGTACATATCGTTTCTTGAAGTATTCGTTACCAATTAATTTTCGACACTATTTCTTATCATTTACTATTTGTTTAAAAATACTGTTGTAATTTAAAGTATCAATGTTTTCGGATTGTTTTGGCAAAAAGGCAAAATATTAATTTTACTTACCTGCATTTAAACCAGTAGGCATACTTGCCGTACGTCGCTTCAACATTGAACGATTAAACCGTGGATGTGGCCTATCAATATTCGTTGTACGATATTGGAAGAATGTTCGTCCTGTATAACGAAATTGTGATTTACTTAAACTAGGTGTTGATAAAGGTCTTTTAGGTGCTGGCGTTTCTTTCAGTCGAAAAAATGCATGATGTTCGACGGCAGCTTTCCACAGTCGATTAGCTAAATGTGGATTTAACAAACGAAAGCCTACAATAGCTTCAACAGGTTCTGACTAAAATTGAACAAAAAAGGCAGTTGTTAGACAGACAAGAAAATATGTCAATATTGTAAACGGAATTATCCACTACGTAAATTAAACTGTCATGATGATTGAGTATAAGTTGATACCTCAAATGTAACCAAATTATATATAGTTTTGATTCAGAGCGAAAGCTAAGGTATATTTATCTTAAGTTTGAAGAAGAAAAGACTAACGATGTAAGCGTAAAATGTGAACTAGGGCAATTATATTATATAAAGTACTTAAATATGGGATGATAGTTTTATTCTAGTGATCAGTAAACAGTTATAAAACTCCCACTAAGCTGAACTTTCAAACATTCAGTATAGAACGGATTGTTATATGATTAATAATTAAACTAACTCAAAGGTACTACGAAAACATGCGATATCTTTTCGATATAAAGTATACACTACACAAAAAAAAATCTCAATTTAATTCAATCATCAACAAAAATGAGTCATTGTGATAGAAAGACCAAAGTGTTTCTGAAACAGTTAGTTTCTTGAATATTCGAGCACACCTGTATTCTCATCTTTCAATTTGATTAATATGCACATGAAAACTAATGTCATGTAACCTATAGATTTAAAGCCCGGAAATCGATCATGGAACATTTCATTCATACATGCATGAGCAAATATATACACACAAACAAACACTTGTAGAAAAGGTTAACATGATATTGGAAAAACGAAAATATGATAAACTATTCGTACAACACGGTCACACAGTTGTTTTGCTCATTAGATGAACTGCATAAAAGATACTAAGACAAAGTGAAAAAAATTGTTTGTTACGCACTATTTATCAGAGCTGTAGCATACTTGCGTGTACGAGTAAGAAAACCAGTTTAATTTTCGTTGCTCTCTTTCTCACACAGAAACACACAATTCTGTACATTTATTCACAAAATAACTTATAAGTCTAGCCACAATAAATCAATTCAATGTGTAGTGAATTGTAGTTTAGCGTAAACTTTGATAATTTAATTCAGTTTACTAGTTGACTTTTCTTTGAGTAATTTCCATTATGACAGTTAGTTAGTTAGCAGGAAACAACAAATGCAAAAAATACGATTTTTGTGAATGACTGGCTTAATATGAACGTGACATCGATAAAAGAGAAATATCATTGATAAGTTTACGGAATAAAGGATTTATTTTTCACTAGCTGTAATCTGTACTCATATAACGTATGAGCACAAAGATTTTCTTTACATTACAAAAATTTGAAAGTAGATGAAATAGGACTTCGCGATAAAATAATACAGATAACATGGTTCCGAAATTCTGTTGATCAGTATATTCAATACATGATGTAGTTACTTAATCGTTTCTATTAAAAATCCTCTACAATAGTGTGCCAGAGACACCAAAGATTAATTTCATAGATGCATCTCACTTACAAGTTGATTTCACTACTAAATGAGTATACTGAATGAACATTATCTATTTAGTTAACTAAAACATATCTAAGACAAGAAAAAGCAGTCGAGAAAATAAGTAAAACTGTTGGCTTTGAGCAGACCGTCAATATATGAATTCCATCTAAAAATAAAGTTAATCTATCTGATTGTTAGTATCCTGGTTTTTTGATCCAGTGAAAAGAATTTCGATATCCAGTGGTTGATTAATGAGGAAGTCAATGCATCGGAATCGGCTACAAATAGAGACTCAGTCGACGTTTTGGGGACAGTACTTTTACTACATATATTAGTCATTACCATATTAACGTAAAGTTGAAGTCCACTGAAACTTTAATAACCTATCATATCACAACCGAAAAATACCAAATAATTCAACAATGCCAACACTAATTTAAACTACTGTAAATGATAATTTTCAAATAAATTCTTTGCAGAATTTACAAGCCCTTTGAGAAGAATTATTCAACTGTGAGACCATTAAAAACGATGAGGCACTGAACAATTATTTCTCGGTGTAGGATTCCTCAACAGTGCACACCCACAGTCTAAACGCCATAAAACCCAGAATTTCCATGTCTCATCGGAACACTATGCTTCTAAGAGCAATATTTCACAATCAAATAATTCGTACTTTCAACACAAGCTATTATAGCGTGATCCAGTGTAAGACTGTTGGTGAGCACTGCTGGTGAGTCTCATATTAAAAAGAATTGTGTTGATACTCCTTGGTCATCCATATTTCTTCAGATAAAGTAAGTCCTTGACGAAAACCATCTTCATAGTTAGGAAATGTCAATAAAGACAATAACTTAAATTGTTACTAACGATCTATAAAATACTTCATAATTTTTTCAAATAACTCAGGATGATGTATTATCTTGTTTAAGAGTTTAAGCTAACAATAACTTGTGAGTGAAAAACTACTTGAACACATTATACTGTTAAAATATTTTTCAATAGGTTAATAGGGTAGAGTAGAGCTGGGTGGATAACAAGTTAAGAAAACTTATAAAATTTCATAGAAAACCTAACTAAAAAATAAAACAATGATGTTAAACATGGGGATTTTATATAAATGCGTTACAATGGATACCAGTAAAATGAAGAAAATGTTGTGAAAGAAGACTTAAGGCCATTTACAGTTAGGAAAATATTTTGGTCAACAAGGCAAAAGTCATGATGCATACACGCACACAGATGCTAAGGATGCGAATAAGAAAAGTGGACAATAAAATTATTAATAGCTACGTCTGGAATGGTTTCGTGACAAATAGTTACAGATTAACTGAGCAGCTAGTCCTGTGATAATATGAGAATCGTGATATAAGCAATATGTTGGCAAAAGTCAACGAGGAGTATCAATACAACTGCAAAATATATGACCCAGTAGTTAATTATGTTTAATAAGCTGTAGCATTTGCTTTCACATTTATTTTCAGTACGATTCTCTTTTCTACAAACTCGAATACTAACTCGATTAAAAATTATAAACAATTGAAAAGTGTGATGATGGGAAATATTAGTGAAACAAGATTAGATCAAATTATTTTAGTTTTGTGGCATATGCACGGAAAAAATGCCTCGAAATGTTATTGACGACCTTAAGATGCAACCATATATGATGTGAAAGAAAACTATGTAAACTGAGTTGTATAGAAAAATGATACTCTTGCAGGACAAGCCACTGGGCTGGAAGAATATTTATTTAGTGAAATTACGTAGTGTTTATGCAATATGTACAACTAATCTATAATCACCTCTTTTCATCCCGTTGTGTTCAGCAATCCAGGTTGGATCTGGACTGTCTTCTCTTGCTTCCTTCCTGGTATCCAACGTACTCAGTATACTCCATGCTTTTTTACCTCCTGCGACTCGTCTCTTCGGCTGTCGACAGTAGCAACTTCCACGAGACGATTCATTACATACCACTTATAAGTAATCCTGTGAGTAGCATTCATTACACTAACTGGCTAAAGTTAAACACGTTACTGACGCATAATATTGTAATTTTCCAAACGAAAGTAGCTAAAAGTTTTATAAAATAGATGAATTGTCATTCGGTGGATAACTCCTCGGATATTTGAAGCGAAAAGTACTAAGTACAAGTCCTTAGGTGAAGCAAGTACATTCAAATGACGAGTTACAAAAAAAATGAAACGCGCACCCTGAATTTCAATTCCTGGCACAATCCATCTATTCAATAACAATACGGCTATATCGAAGCAACCATCACAGAATTCACACAACCCTAACTAAAACTGATCAAAATTCAGTCAAGATTATATACAATGGGATAATGGAAGCTCTCACAAATTAAATTAAGTAGTTCTGATACCAAAAATTTATGGTGTGCATTTTATTCAATGTATACATAAGAACAAGTATTTAAAGTAAACCAAATAACTTACATAATCAGGTCGGATCTTTAAATAGAAATTATTTTTTTTATACGATATACGTAGAACTTTAGGCCATGCAAATCTACCAATACGCAGTCGGTCACGATAAATAACTACACCATGAAAACCAACACCAATATAAATATCAACATTTTCCGTATCTTTAGCTGGGTGTAAATCAACACCGTATAGTTCCAACCGTTTAGCAGTCTCTAAATATTTAATATCAGCTTCATTCGGTTTCATACCACTGGAATAAAGCAAAAAGTGTCATTAGTAGTGTGTTCGTATATATATACTGGCATTAAGTGCGCTAAATTGAGTATATTCAACGACTCCTGAAAATCTAGTTGTAATATAGCTTTATTTACATGCATGAAATGAACCACGTATATGTTTATGAGTAAATATTATCCACCAAAAACTATTAGATGTAATATATATATATATATATATATATATATATATATATATTTGGGGGGTGATTGCAGAAAATAGCGTTTAATCTGGCTGTATTAAATAATTTTTGTACAGCTCTTCTTAGTTTCTGAGTCACGATTTCTTCAGTGGTGTCATTTATGAACTGTAATTTTATGAACAGTACTTTCTTAGGGACGGTAGGTATCTTTACCCTTGTTTTCTTCTCCATCATGTGCTTGCTTGCTTACTTAGTATGAATGGGTACCCTATGAAATTCATCGGCAAGTTCGTCATCGTATTACAGAGCATCATCCATCATGGTTGAGCAAAGGACAAGTAAAAGTTCTATTCTCTCTCACTTGGTTGACACAGGTCATCAAGTTGAATTAAATAAAGCTTTTAAGGTTATCTACCATATCCCATCAAATTTGCCACATGGTTTACGAGTTCGCCTTTTGCACATTGCGGAAGCCATCGCAATCCGTGTTCAAAAACCTAACCTTTGCATTCAAAAGAGATTTGTACAACCACTTTCGCTGTCTTGGCAATCGGTATAAGATTTACCTCAACAGAACTATTTTTCATACTTCTTCTATTTGATTATTTCTAAATTTTAGTAATTTTGTTTTTTATCAGAAGGGGTTTTATGGAGATTTATACAAATTCCAATAGTTGAAATCATGAGTCAATTGAAGCTGGACCACCATGGAAAACCTGGAAGCACTGGACGGCCGTTTCGTCCTAGCATGGGACTCCTCAGAAGTGCGCATCCACGATCCTGCCTCCTGAGACATTCGAACCCAGGACCTATCAGTCTCGCAATAAGCGCTTGACCATTAGACCACTGAGCCGGCATCCAACGGTGTTAACGTCTAAATTCAACCAATCCACAAAGTTGCACCACCGTACACCATTATCTTCAGTGAGTTGATACCTCACAACAGACCTGGTTGAACTCCACTGGTAACGGCTTCGCACTAGAGCTCCAGGAAATGCCTCTTGAAGTCAGTCACCAGTGAGCAGATGATTATTATCAGAAGGGGTTTTGTGGAGGAGTCCCATACTAGAACGAAACGGCCGTCCAGTGCTTCCAGGTTTTCCATGGTGGTCTAGCTTCAATTGACTCATGATTTCAACTATTGAAATTTTGATTTTGTTGTTTTTCAACTTTATAATTTCTCAACATTCATTTCTTGATTCTTACGTAACTGCCATTCTGTTGACCATCCATTAAGAAATTCTGTTCCTTCTCTTTTTTTCATATATTACGCAACGTAGCAACTTCTTGATTTAATAATTACTTTGAATATTAATAATCCTCTTTCTTCCAATTACTCAATGTTAATGTAAATGTCATTATACAATTGTTTCATAACGTATACACCCGATGAGTGTTATATCATTATTGTATATATATATATATATATATATATATATATATATATATATATATATATATATATATATAATAGTAGAGTCATAATGAAAAACAACAGTAAACAGAAATTATTTTTTGAGAGTGAAATAATAATATTAAAAGTAGTTTGATTAGCAAAAATATAACCAGAAAGAATCCTTTCAGTTAAACAAGTTACGTTCATTTTTATGAATGAAGTAAGCGAAAGTCACAGCAGGATAGCCACTGGTTTCTATCCTGAGCCATTTTTGATAACGTCTCTAGCCACTGTGTTGCGCTATCTATCGGACCCCAGCCAGGGAGTCGTGAAGGACCAACAGAAGCCAGTCCTGTGCAGTTCTCTTTCATACCACGACACCATGTCATACAGTGACCACCTCTTCGCTTTCTCCAACCAATCCCAGCGTCGGCAAATAATGTGAGACATGGAATTCTCGGGAACGACACTCGTAGGACATGTGCAAGCCACTGAAGTCGATGTTTCAAGGTAGTGACACTAATTGAATTATCGTTTGTGAGCCCGAACATACGATGCTGAACCTATACATTACTAACATGGTGTTGCCACTGGATGGCGGCAATCCTCCGGACACAACGATGATCAAACACAGAGAGTTGTCTAACATCATCAGACTAACGTCACGAAGACGCCAAAGATGGGCTAGATTAGCATAAACCACTCCGGCACTCACTATATGTGAGTTGATCTGATTACTCGCACCACTACCAGGACTTATGCAGTTACTCAGATACACGAACATCTCGGCTACTTCTGTCTGCTCACTACCCAGAGTGAGTCCAGGATCAGGGTCTTGTCAGTCTTGTAAAAGTACTTTGCACTTCGAAGGTGTAAAGCACATACAATATCTATGATCACTAATTGCCAACTGATTAAGTGCGGATTGCATGGCTTGGGTATCATTGCACAGTAACACAATATCATCCGCATACTCAAGGTCTGCGAGCCTTTCCAGGCAGCAGATCCACACCGCCACTACTTACATCCATTAGAGCTGTTTCCAGAACATTCATGGAAGGCAAAGTTGAAGAAAGATGGCGAAAATGGGTAACCCTGCTTAACCCCACTACTTGAATGGAACAATGGAGAGAGGTGGTTATTTGCCATAACTCTGCCTGAGGTGTTTGTATATAGGGCCTTAAAGATGTTAATAAATTCCTCAGGCACACCCTTCTTTAATAGACAATGCCAGATAATAGCCCTGTCCAACGAATCGAAGGCAGCCCTAATGTCAAGAAATACTACGAATGTTGGCCTGTGATAAGTTTGACGGTGTTCTAACATTTGGCGGAGGGTGAAGATATGATCAATAGATCCTCGAGCAGAACGAAAACCAACCTGTTCCTCGCGAGTCAATCTTTCTTAAGTTTTGAATAATCTACGAAGTATGACGGAGGCTAATAGTTTGGACGCAATCGGAAGTAGACTTGTCCCCAGATAGTTGTTACAGAAACGACATGAACCCTTCTTGAAGAGAGGGACAACTATCGAATCATTTTGTGAGGTTGAGACAGTCTTTAATTACCAGATCTTTACAAATAAATCAGTCAGTTCCATAACCACAAAGTTACCATTATCTTTGAAAAGGGTCAAGGGCACATCATCTAGGCCTGGTGATTTTTGATGCTTCAAGAGTTGAATTTAGTTACAGACTTCAACCTTGTTAGGTGGATCAGTCGTCACAGGCCATAGACGGTAGGACAGTCTGATCGATGTCGTCGAGGCAACAAATCAGTTGAACTGCTCTTTTAAAAACTCTGCCCATCGTCCAAGACGTTGGTAGATGTTAGTGATTGGTATCCCATCATCTTCACATATTGTTTCACTCACACCAGACGTCTTGCTGCCAGTGGCTTGGATGAGCTCAAAATGTTCCCGGCAGCTACCAGATGCAGCTGCTGCATCTAACTCGCCTGCACACTCCAACTACCAGGCTTTTCGGTCTTTACACAAGTTTCGCATAATTTCATTAATTAAAAGTCTTCGTTTATGGTCAAACTCGCAGTCGCCCGGAGACCGACGAGCTTCAGTGAGTTGTAAGGAGCCTGAAGAAATCCAGTGCTTATCAGCGGGACGTTTTGCGAAGCTGAAAGCGACTTTACTTGCATACAACTGCGGCCAACGCTCATCTATACTTTTCGGTAGGCTGACAGCTAGCCTTGAAGCTAGCTCGGTTTAATATTTAGTCGCAAAACACAAAACAAGCTATTCGAAGTGACAGATGAAGAGCGAATTTGTAGTACTCCACTAGTCTTGAATACGGGTCTCCGATAGACAACATATATAGATACTGAGACATTCTAAAGATATAGCCGACACTATCTGTTGTCTGATCTGCATCAGTGTGCGAACGTTGAAGGTAGTTTAAATAGTATACATGGTTTCAAAAAGACTGATTCAATATTCGTAGTAAGTAGTAGTATTCAACTTCCGACCAATCAGTGACTTGAGGTGGCTTGAATAGGACAGAGTTTCCACTATACGCGAGCTGAAAAATAAAATACTTAAAATAAGAATAAAGGGGAATAGCTAAGTGAAGTAATATGGAAGAAATAAAAATGAATGTTATCATATGATTGTGAATAAGATTTATTTGAATGAGAGTTGAAGCAAGGATAAGTTTCCCAGTAGTGATTATCATTCATTTTTGTGAGGGCTGTGATATTCCCCGAGTGCCAAAACCGAAGCATTATTCAGATAATTTGTTTATTAAGCACAGGGTTATGCATCCAGTCACGTCTTTCGCGCATGACGCTTACTAGTACAATCTGAAAATGAAGTGAATTCGAGTCGGAGAAGAGCACACAAAACGGTCAAAAATCAAATGCTCTATTCATTCATTCAGTTGCCAGAACGATATGTTACCATCCGTAAGGCACTGAACATTCATCATTATCAACTAAAGAAGATTAAATATAATTCAGAGTATACAACTCAATATGTAATAAAATAGTTAAGGTAAAAAATTTGTCGATAATAACTTAATCATATAAATATTTGAATGCGGGTTGTTTAATTAAAATGACAATGTAGAAACATGATGGTTTACATTAAGCTTTACTTAATAAAATATTTCAGTAAATGTTAATGAAAATAATAAACTCAAGAACATGAGAAATAATAATAAAAGATAAAACGACTTTTATCATAACCTTAGATTTAAGCTTTACTATAGAAGAAATATAAAGTGAAGACTATGCTAAGAAATGATCTTGAAAAAAGAATGTTTATAAATTCGAAATATATAGCAAATTTTAATGCAAATAATTGGAATACATTAAATAGTGGCTGACAATTGAAACAGTGATGCTGTTGTGGGAACCTAAGAGCTTTCAGTCGGTTACGATCAACATAGGATCCGACACAACTGTACATCGGATGCAGTTAATACATAAAAACTGCAAGCAAAAATATTAATCAGTAAAATTGGTGAAAGCTATGAATTAAGTGGAAACAAAGATCAATGCATCAGCTTGAAGTTTCTAATTGAGATCACCGTTACTTGTAGTACTTAGACTGGAAACAAGAAATCTTTGATCAGTAAATTTCGACGTTTAGCTGTGCTACCTCAGCAGTTTGAAAACAAACCAAGTCTCTTCTAGATACAGAGACAGTTTTAATCAAACCTAATCACTTAAATGTCAAAATAAGGAACACCTTCACTGGCAAACTAAACTTTTTTAAAAGTTATAGTTCCCGCGGTTAATAACCAAGCCGAATGGCTCCAAAGGCAAGCAGAAGATTTAAAATAATGTTAATTACGTCCCACCAGGATCATATAACGATAAATAATCATGTATACTAGTCATGGATTCCAAGATATTATATGGACACAAGTAGCCACTTCTTATACAAAATAAAATGTTGAAATGATCATTCTAAACACTGTACGTTAGTAAAATTGTAGTAACGTAAACACCTAAAGGTTTCTCCACTATATTCCCTTGGTCACCATTTACATAAATAAACACTTAAACCCAAACAAATTAAGATGAACCAGTATTATTTGTTGAGGCAATTTAGTTTAACGGCAAGAAATTAAGACAAATTCATTTAAGGTAAGGAATAATAAGAATGTACTAACAGCTAAATGACAGGAGTGTTCAGCTTAAATAGCTCAAAACCCCGGGCAACAGCCCAACGTAGTCATCATCATCACCAGGTGACTGAGTGATTTAGATTATGAATACTTTTCATAACCAAAGAAATCAAATATGAATTCACATATTTTTCTAGACAAAAAAACAACTCACGTATGGGTTTTATGCAATTCTACAATTTTCTTCAACAATTGGGGTGTAGGTGATGGTACAAATTCAAATTCATTTAAATAATCTAACCCAATATGTTTATCCGGATCGAAATCGCCTAATTCTGCCTGTACCATAAATGAACCTAATAATGCTTGTGTAACCCACGAACAAGGAAGTTTCCCAGTGTAAATATCTTGTCGAATTTGTAAAGTAAGCTGATAGCGTGTCAACTCTTCTTGCAACAAGGATGGCTCAGGAGGGTAAAATTTAACTTGAAAATAAAATAATCGTTGCTCGTTATCTAATGAAAAAAAGTTGCAAAAAATATTAGGATGTATACATGTGGATATTAAACTACAAAAATACAGTATCCCATTAATTAAATAAATCATACAGTAAGTTTGGTCCTTTATCCGTTGGATGATAGTTAAGCCATATAACCGTGATATTACGTGACATTTCAATGGAAACAACTCAATCCAAAGCGAAAATATTACCTTATCATCATATAAAATACAATCGTACTACTGAATAGCAGTAATTAAATATTTCTAAATCAGTTCCTATGAGCTCCTGATAACCTCGGTTACAAAACGAGTAAAATGGTCGTCTTTTACTGATTAAAAACGTATCACGTGATGTGAGCCAAACGAATGCTTTCCAAAAATCATAAAATGTGGAGGTTTTATTTGTGGCTTGCTTACTTATTTACGCCTGTTATCCCTAGTGGAGAAGCACAGCCCGCCCAACAGGATTCTCTAACCAACTCTGTTCTGGGCAATCCTTCTCAGTAGTTTTGACTTACTATCCATGTCTTTGATGCCTGCCTACAATGTTCGACGCAATACGCCCCTCGTTCTTCCTTTTCTTTTTTTTGGTGATCCCACGTTTAGCGCTTACCTCGTGGTGCAATTCGGTGATTACCGCAATGTTTGTCATATGCACCAACATCTTTTCCTAATTTCCTCTTCATTTGGAAGCTAGTTTGTTCTCTCCCATAGTAGGCTGTTGCTAATGGTATCCGGTCGACAGACGTTGAGTATCTTGAGCGGACAATCGTTTACCAATACTTGTACTTTCTTATGATGGTTGTAGTTCTCCAAGTTCTAACTCCGTACAGTAGAACTGTCTTGACGCTCGTATTGAAAATTCTGACTTTGATATTGATTGACAGTTATTTTGAGTTCTATATGTTCTTCAACTGTAGAACTGTTACCGTTACTTCGCTAGTCCTTTCCCTTAGGTCTGCATCAGATTCACAACATCCATCGATGATGCTAATCACGCACGTGAAAGTTTCCACCTCTTCCAGAGTTTCTTCATCAAGTGTGATTAAATTGATGTTCTCCGTGTTGTATTTGAGGATCTTGCTTTTTCCCTTGTGTATGTTGAGGCCTAATGCTGAAGAGGCTACTGCTACACCGGCTGTGTATAGGATAGAAGAGCCAGGTTCATTTGCGAAGCCCAAATCGTCTAGTTGCATCCAAGCTGCCGATTGTACTCCATGCTTCTCTTCAGATGTGGAGGTCTCCATAATCCAGTCAACCACCAAAAGAAAGAGAGTAAGTAGCTTTGTAGAACTCCGGTCCCTACTGGAAATGCGTCTGACGACTATCCTCCATGCACGACTCTGCAGTGTGGTCCGCCATATGAATCCCGTATGATATTGACGATCTCAGGCATACCATAATGTCGAAGAAGGTTCCACAAGATTTTCCTATCCACGCTGTCAAAAGCTTTTTCGTAGACAAAGAAGTTGATGTATAGTGACGAATTCCATACAATTGGTTGTTCAACGACGATCCGTAGTGTCGCGATTTGATCTGTACACAACCGATCCTTACGTAACCCGATCTGTTGATGTTGAAGTTGGGCGTCTACTGAATCTTTCATCAGGTTCAGGAACACTATGTTGAAAACTTATCCTATAACCGATAGTAGTGTGGTGTGTGCTACTATTGTCAAGAGATATAAGTAGTATGTCATCAATCGAAAATGAAATGCATGAAACAGAAGATCAAAGAAAAGAGAACGAGAACAAATAATGATTGGTGTGGAAACGAAACAATGAAGTCTGTGACGATTAATTGACATTTTACAAATGAAGTATTTACAGTATGGTTTTCAGATTTTACTAAGATGTTCTGTAATTTTGTGTTCAAATACATTCGGTTGTCCCTGCATGTGTTCTCGTTCACTACAGTAGTGTGGTGCCTCTGTAATTCTCACATTTCCTTTCCTTTCTTTGGTATCTTGATAGGGTATCCTTTTCTCCAGTCTGTCGGCATTGGTTCCTTCTCCCAAATCTTCCTGAACAGAACGTGGAGCATGTTTGCAATTGCCTCCATGTCTGACTTCAGTGCTACAGATGGTATATTGTCAGGTCCTACTGCTTTACCACTTCTGATTCATTTGATGGCCATCCTGATATGTTCGATCGTTGGTGAAGTGGCATCTATAGGAAGGTCTGTGCGTGCTTCTTCGTTGTCCGTTGGGTTCAGTGGGGCTGGTATATTTAATAATTCTTCAACGTTCTCTATCCATTTTTTTCTCTGTTCTTGAATCTCAGTGATTGGCTTGCCTTCTTTGTTCCTAACTGACCCCTCCGGTTTAGTACATTTTCTTTGTTTCTTCGTTATATCACATAGTTGTTTCATATTGCCTTCTCTTGAAGCTATTCCTGCTGTCGTTGCTAGCTCTTCCAAGCATTTTTGCTTGTCAGCTCCAATGCTCCTCTTTATTTACTTGTTTGTTTCTGTGCATTAGGCGCGTGCCTTGACCTTCTCTGCTCTTGTTCAGCTGTTGTTAATTACCGTTTTTCTGTTCTTCCTATCTTGAATATTGTCCAGGGTTTCAATAGAGATCCATTCCTTACGATGATGCTTATTTTGGTCCAGGACCTCCTGACATATTGAAGTTAGTGCTTCTTCAATCTTTTTCCAATTACCCTCCATAGTAGTCTCTTCTTTCAGTAGATCTTCTAGGGCTTTGAACCTGTGGTTGAAGGCCATCTTGAATTCGTTGAGTTTGTCAGTATGCTGAAGAAAGTCTGCATTGAACCTTTTTAATGCTGTTTATCCAGCTATCCAGTGCTTCTCTAGCTTCAGATTCATCTTGGCAAACACCAGTTGGTGGTGGGTGATCTGAAGCTATGTCATCTCTCTTGGTTCTCACGTCTTCCATTGACCTGAACTTTTTGTGTTGCGAATATGATCGATTTGGTTCCCTGTAGTGTGTTCCGGTGTTACCCATGTAGCTTTGTGTATGTGTTTGCGGGGCAATATAGTGCCATATATAACCACTTTGTTGAATGCCCATAAAATTACAAATCTGTCACCATCCTCGTTCCTTTCTGCCGGTCTATGTCGTCTCATGATATCTTCATACCCGATGTTGTCCATTCCGACTTTGGCGTTTAGGTCTCTCATAAGGATGGTCAGGTCCTTTCCTGAGCACATAGCTATGACTGATTGTAGCCTCTCATGAGACTGATTTTTATCGTCTTCATTGCCATCATTGATGGATGCATAACGTTGGATAACATTTAGTGTGACTTCCTCACACTTTGTTTTGAAGGATGCCTTGATGATTCTGAGTCTATGAGATTCCCAAAGGCTGTGATGTTGCATCTTAACATTTTCGAAGCGATGGCTATGCATCTGGAAAAACAAGAATTGTGCCCAAAAAAACGGTACAACCACTTTTCCTGCTATGGTCTTAATGTCTCATAATTATCTTCCTTCACAGTCATCTGCTTCCTCTTCTATCTTCTCCATAGACACTTTACCCCCAACTGGTTTATTTCTGTTTCTGGGATCCTCATGATTACATTTCGTCTCAATTTTAACATTTTGTCTTACTATACTAAGCCATTCTTTCTTAATTATAATTTCCTATTTATCTTCACGACTGATATTCAAGTCCTTAATAAACTATTGTTAGTTTCCCTGATGAAGAAAATAATGTTTTGATACCTTTGTTTATTCTACCTCACTGTTACCATGTTTAACGGAATTTTATTATTATTATTGTGATTATTATCATCCTGAAAAACATGTATATATATTTGCGATTGTACAGCTTTCAAAATGAATTCACCGAAAAGAGAACACTTCGCTGAACTACTCTTTCTTATTTTATGCCTCAATGGGTATATTCTGTTTACTCAGAAATAAATAAGCATAAAAGCAACGAACAATTAATCATTAAATAATGAACGACAGAGCAATATTTGTTATTTATTTATTTATTTTAATACATAGATATTGGTACAAGGAGGCTATATACGTGTGGCTATGTGAGAGCATTTCGAGTAATATTTGAGATTCAGGTACAAAGCCAATCTAAATAAAATCATCCAAAACTTAAAACTGCAACATACAGTTACTCATGAAGTGAAAAAGTTGAAAAGCTGTATCCATTGGAAAATGCGATCTAAAGCTTTTCAAAATAGAATTAACTAGCAATATACAAATAAAAAGCCACCAATGTGTAAAAGATTGCTAGAATACAACTTACCTCGCAACTGTTTTCCAATCTTGGTTTGTAAATCCAGCCAAAACTGAAAAAAGAAGGGAGATATATACCACGCTAGTTATTCATAATACTTCAAAGAATTTCGACGCAATAGTGATCAAATCAATGTCGTTTATCTAGTTTGAACACTGATTATAGGTCTTATCAGTTTTCTAACAGATAAACCAGATTGGTAATGAAAAATAGACCTCGGATTTCGGTTATAGATGATCGTGCCTACACAAATGAATACAATATCGACATAATAGCACTTAATATAGTAAAAATTTCAAACTAATGAGTTTTCTATAACAAAAGGTGAGTTAAAGAATTGTGAAACAAAAGCATAGTTGCAGATATCTAATGATATTACTACTGATACTAAAAACAAGATAAAAATGGTTTTAGTACAGCAAATCAAGGAATATTATTTGGCACTACAAACAAATCACCTAACCAAATAATTTACCGGGGGCGATTTGCAGGCTTAGCTGCTATAATATACTAATACTGATTAACATTTGTTGTGAACACTTGAGGTCGTATTTACAAAGATTGGTTATTTATTGATACAATGGTATCCAGAGTACGAAGATGAAATATAATTACTAAAAAACTTACCCATGTACGTATTTTGTTACTGACGAACGTCAGTCCAAAGTAGTCGGCTTCATAAAGATCTAAGTTCTGACACACCTGATCGAAAAGAACTTGACCAATATCATCACGACTCAAATGGAAAACAAGCTCCTCACCATCAAGCATAATAACGCAAACTGATGTAGAACTATCAGACGGCTTGGTATTTTGTGACACATGAGCTTTCGGCTTGCGTCGCCTAAAAGAAGCGAATAACTTTGATAATACGTTTTTCGTTGGCGAAACCTCAGGTAGATTTTGGTGAGGTACGAGTTCATGCTGGCCTTGTCCGAATTCAGGATTCCAAAATCCCCGTCCACTCCCAACAAATGCATTGGAATGTCCATCATCTAACATGCCTTGTTCGTAACTTGAATAGGATTCAGAGTGTAGATTAGTGGGTAAACCCATGGAAGATTCTCGACGTTCCTCAGAACGACCATTAGAAATGGGAATGCTGCCTGAAAGAGGAGAAGGTGGTACTGAGCCATCATAACGAATAGAACCAGACACTCCACTTTCCTCATCTTGATGATATGGTACTTGATTTTGAGAAATTCGAGAACCTGCGCGACTTCTGTACTGATTTTCATTGTCACTGACATAACTATGGATACTTTCTTGATATTGATCGACAGAATATTTGTGTCCCACACCAGCTATATTCGACACATTTTCATGTCTCTGTGTTTTTTTCTTCGACCTATGTCGTTCTGCTTTTTCGTTTAGGTATGTCTTTTCTACACTATCCCTATAAACAACTCGACTTGAAGAGTAAGGTCTTCTGGTAGCATTAAAGTCAGCATAACCTTCAGTGGTCTCGGCGTCATGACAGCCGTTATCTTGGTTATCATTTTCATATCTGTTGTCCGAAAAATGATTGAGGAAGCGACTAGAAGTTTGATCAGTAACCTCATAATCTCGATTCTTCTTTTTTCGATGGACTTTTTCTCCGCGCTCCCTTTTATGTCCTTGTACATCCTCCATCATAATATTCTCGTTGGTGGCATATACGTTTAAAAGCAGTCTGTCATGAAGAAAAAAAGTTAATTCATGAAGACGTGTAATTCGAAAATTCGCCAATAAAAAATGAACAACTTAACACAATTCGGGGAGACAGGAACCATGATATGAGTTAAGACATAAGCTGAATGAATCAGAAGTAACTACGGTTTTGTATAGGTCTAAACTGGCAAGGACAACTGGAAGTGATACAACAGCCAATAATGATTTCTAATGATAAAACTATTTTGATAAATATATCTACGAATCAAAATAGGATTGAGGACTATTGTTAACTGGCATAATAGTCGGTATCATCCATCACATTGATCAAAAAAATTCATACTGGCTGGCTATATAAGAGCACTAGCATTGGATATAATTATGGTTCACGAGTAGCTGAACTTTTAACAGCTCGAAAGTTGATAAAAAATACCGTCTGAAATTTGGTTCTCTCCCCTACTCTAAGTGAGCAAATCCAGTAAAAGGAGTACAAGAGTATAGCCGAACGATCCATACATAGATACTTATTTTACAAGGATCGACATGATGCACTTCGGACCTATTTTAAGATGATAAGGTAACCAGTACATTGAACTAAGCATAGTGGGTATAAACTTTGGTTGAGTAATAAAAGCATATAAAGCAATGTTTAAACAGCTGTCAGCACAAAAACCCTTAATCCATGGATGCCTGAAATGATGAAAAATCCTACAATTGCATATTTCTCCTCATTACATCTTAACGATACGTGGACAACAAAAAGACTCCCTTGTAATACAGTGAAATTGGGTGTTAAAACATTTATTATCCTGACATAAATGGGCATGATCACTAACAGTCAACCTATGTCGAATTCGCTAGGACAACTAAGTTTGCTGTAAAAAAAAAACGTATGACTGTTAAGGAACGACGGTACAGTGGAACATAAAAAAAGGGTTAACACTGGTCTGTCGACGAAATCATCATTCTAGGTATACACAGATGAACGGACATGATTATCAATACAGTATATATTACTGTCTATGAAAAATCGCACATCCAAGCTATAAAACTGAGTTTCCAATGATGGATCGTAATGATGCTTTTTTTATCTTAGCCATTTAAGAAGCTAAGCTGTCTTTGCAAATGGAGCTTCACACTTAACTGACTACGAATAAGAAGAAACTATACTACCTAATCAAACTCACTTGGAATGGTAAGCCCACACAGAAATTTAACCTAGGCATTAGTGCATTCCAACAACGACGGTCGATTTTCTCGTAACAAACCGTTTGTGTTACGATTCTATTATTCATCTCCATAAACTTGACCCATGACTTTAATTTGTGATGAAAAACAATATATATTTTACCTCATAAAATAGTTTGCTTTACAAACCCAAATAAATTCCTCTTGATTTCTGAATTCTTAATGTTAGGAAAAAATATTTCAAAATGGTTCAAATGGTTGTGGGTGGAATAGAAGATTTCGCATAAGGGGCTTCCGTGTCTAGTAGCAGTGGATCACAAGTACTTTCAGGCAGGAACGATAATAGAGGAAAAAGAAATCGGTAAATCATAGTAGGATATTATCCTTAGTCCTTAAGAACAGGTAATATTTCCTCTTGAAGGACTCCTGAAAAGTCGCTTGGTCTAGCTCAGCCAGCAGTGAATTCCAGCATTTGAAAACTTTTAGGGAGTAGAAGTTATGTCTCTAGTTTCTGGGTGTTACCCCTTAGGTTTGTGTTGGAGCTAAAATTAAGCAGGTGTTTAAGGGAATGTCCAGAAGTGCTAAGGATACTGTAAGCCATTAGAAGACCACTTCTTAGACGTTTATACTCTAATGAGTAAAGGTTTTGTGATTGAGAGCTCTCTTCATAAGGCTTGAATTTGAGTCCTCGGACTGATTTCGTGGCTCGCCGTTGTATACGCTGCAGAATGTCCCTATCCTTTTAAAGTGAGGGAGGAAACACTATGTTTCCGTATTTTAAATCGAGACGAATGTCTCACATGGATTACTTTACACTTTAAAGTGTTAAAGGTAAATCCATTGTCATCTGTCCAACTTTGAAGTCGAGTAAGATCCACCTGTAGTGACTGTATATCGTCTTAGTTACGTATCTCTCTCCAAAGTTTCACATCATCAGCAAAAGCAATAAGTCAGGTGATACCTTTTGTGGAAGATCGTTTATATAAATCAAGAAAAGAAAAGGTCCTAGTACTCAGCCCTGGGAGACCCTACTAGCGCATTACATGGCCTGAGAGAAATTGAAGTTAACCCTAATCTTAAAGTGTCGATTTTTTAGATGTGAAGTGGGCCAGCTAATTAGGGGTTATTTGATACCCAATCGTTTGAGTTTATTGATAAGACATATATGGTTGACCCTATAAAAAGCTTTTAAGGAGTCAAGGTAAATGACGTTAACCTTCCCCTTGCGATCAAGGATGGTTATTCATTTGTTCACCTCAGTCACTAGGTTGGTTATACAAGAGTGACCTTTCTTGAAACCATACTGTTTGCGTGAAAATAAGATAAAGGATAATAAATAATCGTGTAAACAGTCGCATTGATATGCGATGGTATAGAGAGAAGGGTCACTTGTCGGTAGCTTGAAGGTTCGCTGCGCCAACCACCTTTGAAAATTGGTGTGATGTAAGCCCGCTACCAAATTTCCGAGAGTTTGCATAGGCTTAACGAGTGTAGGAACATCACGCTAAGTGGTGTTGCCAGGATCGAAGCTGATTCCCTCAGTATAGCAGAACGAACTATGTCTGGGCCCGAACAAGTATCTTTTCTTAGGTGCTGCAGTTTCCGGCACACCAATTCAGCGCACACGTTCACTTCGAAAAGTCCTTTTGAGTTGCAGATGAAGCTCTCATCAGTATAGTTAATGTGTGTAAGTTGAAATGTTCGAGAGTATTGTCCAGCCAAAAGGTTAGCGGCGTCACCTTCGTTATCGGTCGGGCCATTATAACCCAGCAGTTGGGAAAATCCAGTTTCAGTTTGTCGAAGAGAAGCTGCATAACGGAGTGAGTTTTTCGGATTGAAGACAAATTTATCGATAAGCTTTATCTGGTGGTGAAACCTGTTTTCTCTTATTGCCTTTGTGGGCTGCAATTAAACGCAACTCAATTTCGTAAATGTGCCCTTCAGCTTAGTAACCAATCAGAATGAGGCGGGAATTATTATATCCGCCATCTTTGTAGGCAATGGCGGTCGAATTTCTTTGTTCTGTGCTTCTTTCAGCTATTTCTTTTGCGTGGCTATGTAATTTAATGTTTCAGTGTGCTAAAATGCAGAAGTTAATGTAATTTTCTAATTGTTGGAGCGAAATTTTCTTCTGATTTAGCTTTAGTTTCTGGATTTTTGCTGCTGCTGATCAATTCAATGTATTTCTTCAGCCAAGCTGGTTCGTCTTATGTTTTAAAATGGTAGTCGGTTTTGTTTTGACTTGTTTTTTTAGATATCCAAAGCCGGAGTTCGTTTCTCGAGCTAGAATAATTGTTGTTGCTGCCTGTGACTAACTGTCCGCATGTTCGTTCCTAACCGTCCTTTATGATGTCATCGGCAAAATGAAAGGAAACAATCTCCAGTTTTTAATTTTCTTCAGTATTATGGACAACACTATCCCACTAACGAGTCAAACTAATACTGATTGCCCAGCAGTAACGTATACCAGTATTGTTTTCGAATGAACTCAGACTTCCGATAACCATAGACGAAGTCACAGATACTACCAATCTATTGAAGACGGTTTGTTATTAAAAATATGTCATATAGCAGTAATAGAGGGGTTTTACTCATTACATAGTGCGTTAAAGCAAGCCTAGCATTGAAAAGCCGGAAATCCGCTATCAGTGTGTAGTGTATGTTTGCTGTTTCGGCCATAAAAGGAGGCCGAAGGGTCATGATCAGGGAGTAAAAAGGTAATTAACTGTTATTAAGCTCTTTTTTTATAGATCATACTTCACCTCTCGCAAATCTGTGTTTTTTACTGTATGACATCAACCGGTACCTAATATTTTCACCCTTACGATGAAACGTACCTGCGAATTCTCACCTTCATATTCGAATTATTTTTGGAAAACTGTCTTCCAGTTTGAGTGCTTCGTACGCCCTGGGAGACTAGATTCCTACATTATTCCTAGTTCCAGTATAACTTTCTCATGCAGTAAGTTCAAAGTAGACACTAGTCTTTCTAAATAAACCTGTGAAGCTAATATCCGTATTCTCTATTTCAGTTAATCGATCGATACATGTACCACATGCATTTCCTGTATATTGCCATTTCACTGTAATTCTAACTGTTATATCTTACTTTTCAAAAATAAAATTGTTATATGCAGCAAATATAGACTTATTTGTTTTGATGGAGATAGGGGGGTTCATGGGATTTTTAGCAGAACTGTAGTAATATTCTCACTAAAGAGCTAAGCGAGTGCGTAGACCAATGTAAGGTACCACACAGGTGCCTTTAAGTTACTCGTGTTCCATTAATGTGGGTAGAGGCATTACTTGCTAATCATATGACATTTGAATAAGAAGCTATGAGATTAGACACGGGGACGGTTAGGATGTGTAACGCGTGTCCGTCCATCAGCTACCGTGACAACTCATGGTGATTAGAATAAGTTGTGAGAGGTTTTCCATGAAAATGACGAAGATATGTACTAAATCACCTTATGAAGAGCGCATCCAATAACTTAGACTTTACCCATTAGAGTATAGACGTCTTTGAGTTGACCTTCTAATGGCTTACAGTATCCTTAACAATTCTGGACATCCTCTTAAACACCAACTTAAACTTAGTTTCAACACTAACGTAAATGGTAACACCCAGAAACTGGAGACAGAACTTCTACTCCTTAGGAGTTGTCAGGTGCTGGAATTCGCTGCCCGCCAAGCTACTGGATATATTCTTAAGGATAGAATCATACTATGATTTACCAATTTCTTTTCCCTCTTTTATTGTTAATATACCTAGGTTCCTGCCTGGAGGTTTTGGTGATCGCCTGCTACTAGACATAGAAGCCTGTTGAGCGAAAGCATCTACTCAGTCCACAACCATTTTAACACATGAACTAGGTGCTGAGGTTCGCTTATCACAAGTTTCTTGCAACGATTAAGTAGGTAAAACAAAGTACCATTAGATTCAAAAATTTTTTCAAGAACTTTCATTAAGAATCGAATATCAAACAAAGGTTTAAACCAAGTTCCCGTTTAGAAGTTGTATTGGTAATGTTGAGTCGCGGTTTTTGTTGTTTTTCTCCAAACGAAAGAGTAAAAGAAGTCAAAAAATACTGGAGGTGGTTGTGAAACTAAAATGGACGTCCAGCATCCTTTTTATAATCTGCTGTTAGTTGGGTCTCCCGTAAACAGTTCCACAGGGCCATAGTTCCAAGGGCGAAGTAGTTTTTAGGATTTGTGAAGGCTCACTCCTGTTGCATTCTAAATGAAAAAGTAGTGATGAATTTAGTCAGAAATGCGAAATAGATAAATAAAAAAATTCCATGTTTTTCAGGAAAGAATTTATGCAGTTGCGATTTACCCTGAGTTCATGAATATTAGATAAGGTCAGCTACTATTACTTATGCAAAGCATAACATGGGCTTAGTACCGTATCGCAATGCTTTTATTATTTTGCTCCCATTTAAGTATTCCCATGCATCTGCGTCTAGTTTAACAGGAAGGCACACAAACAGAGTTAGTGTCCGATAAACTAAAAGAACCAGTTGTCAAAAAAACTCTTAACATTTGTCCACAGCCAGCTGCATTTAATTGAGACACAGAACACTCATCTTATAAGACTGTATACTGCTGTTTTCCAAGCAACTAAAAGCTCAGACGTTTAGCTATCTTGCTACCGATGTTATTGCTGGGGGAAATTGTTTAATGACAGTGATCATGAAATAAGGTCAGTGATAGATGTACAATCTAGAAATAAACAACAAACATACTTATCGCTATCTTATAATGTATGACAGCAACAGCATCAAAGGCACATTTTTTCCTATTTTTAATCAGACTGATCTGAATCAGTATATTCATTAGAAACAGGCAACTCTACTTACTAAACTGATCTGTTTCGTTACAGGCTTCAAGCACTTTAATTAAGAATATCATAATCCTTTTGTAGCGGTAAATAAATCCCCAAACTAAATAGCTCAATAGGTTTTCGACATTGGATGCTGACCATATGTTTTAGTGGACTCATCTAGCTGAAGGCGCTCGGTCATGCATCCGCACCAGATCACGTGCTGTCACGCTGTGCTCAACAACAACCGCAATCACTAGCCAGATT